GAGGTGAGATCTTGCATGGAGCCCAAGGCCGAGGGAGATTGATAGTTATTTTGTGTTTCTTCCATTTGCGAATAATCGCACCAACTGCTGTCACCTTCTCACCAAGCTGCTTGGCGATGGTCTTGTAGCCCATTCGAGCCTTGTGTAGGTCTACAATCTTGTCCCTGACATCCTTGGAGAGCTCTTTGGTCTTGGCCATGGTGGAGAGTTTGGAATCTGATTGATTGATTGCTTCTGTGGACAGGTGTCTTTTATACAGGTAACAAACTGAGATTAGGAGCACTCCCTTTAAGAGTGACTACTTCATCTACTGCCCTCTCTGTTTAATTCCACACATCCCATAATATTTTAGCAATTACATTTACTTTTGATACTTAAGTATATTTAAAACCAAATACTTTTAGACAAGTAGTATTTTACTGGGTGACTTTCACTTGAGTCATTTTACATTTTAGTCATTTAGCAGACACTCTTATCCAGAGCGACTTACAGTTAGTGAGTGCATACATTTTCATACTGGTCCCCCGTGGGAATCGAACCCACAACCCTGGCGTTGCAGGCGCCATGCTCTACCAACTGAGCTACACTGAGCTAATTTTCTATTAACATAAATTTACTTTTACTCAAGTATGACAATTTTGTACTTTTTCCACCACTGGTGTTCATTCCAAGGGAGGTAGAAAGAGAATAATCAATTTTCTAAGTATTCAAACAGGACCAAAGTGTCCATCCTGAGAACAACACATTCCTAGAGTTGGTGTGAGATGGAGAGAGAGAGGAGCAGGGTCATATTTCTGCCCACTTTGGGGAAAATGTTTGGGATCCCTGACACTCACACTGACGCCATGTCCTAGGAGGGTTGATGAATTGTCTCCCACACAACTGATGGATGGACAGCAGAGCAGAGAAGTGGGATGCAACCTAAGCATTCCTATCAAACACCACCAACTCTCAGGTTAGAAATTCAACATAGCCTCAAAAAACACTATGTCACCTTCAGTAAAATCCATTCCGTTCAGAACCAAAAAGCTGTCACCAACTTACTGAACTCACTATTAGAATGAAAAAGCCAACGCACCTCCTACTGAGTTCCTCCTGTCCTCACTCAAATAAGAAATAGTCTACATTTCTGGACGCATTTACCATTTTTCTCAGTGACAGCTCGGGTTCAATATTTTTTAAAACTATTTTGCTGGAGGTTTTGACAAAGAGCTTGTGAAGAAAAGGTGGAAGGGCGGGGAGCACACCATTCTTTCTTCAGTAACGTCTCAGGCCTTGATAACGTGCCTATTTATTGTGAAGGTGCCGTGGTACAGTAATGCGAGCCCATAGAGACCAGTGTTAGTGTTGTTATTCCCAATAGAGGAAATCAATGATTAGAAGCCAGCTAGTACTATGAATAGTAAACACATGATTTTACATTCTACAAGCACAACACTGATGGGGGCTAAATCATAAATTCCCTCACCAGAATGATAAATACATACTTAGCGCCTAGACTAGTTTTCCCTGGAAAAACGTATGTCCCTACACATACTATGAACCAGTTAGAGATACTTTATGATAGCTAGCCCTGAAGTAGTATTACATGTAAAGTACAGTGCCTTCAGAAAGTATTTTGTTGTGTTACAGCCTGAATTCAAAATGTATTAAATAAAAATGAAAATATGTTTTGAGAAATTATAAATATTTATTGAAAATGAAATATCTAATTTACATAAGTATTCACACCCCTGAGTCAATACTTTGAAGAAGCACCTTTGGCAGCGATTACAGCTGAGAGTCTTTCTGGGTAAGTCTCTAAGAGCTTTCCACACCTGGATTGTGCAACATTTGCCCATTATTCTTTTCAAAATTCTTCAGGCTCTGTCAAATTGGTTGTTGATCATTGCTAAACAACAATTTTCAGGTCTTGCCATAGATTTTCAAGTAGATTTAACTCAAAACTGTAACTCTGCCACTTAGGAACATTCACTGTCTTCTTGGTAAGCAACTCCAGTGTAGATTTGTCTGGTTTAAAGCAGACTGAACCAGGTTTTCCCTTAGGATGTTGCCTGTGCTTAGCTCCATTCTGCTTCTTTTTTATCCTGAAAAACTCCCCAGTCCTTAACGATTGCAAGCATACGCATAACATGATGCAGCCACCACTATGCTTGAAAATATGGAGAGTGGTACTCAGTAATGTGTTGTGTTGGATTTGCCCCAAACATAACACTTTGTATTCAGGACAAAAAGTTAATTGCTTTGACAATTTTTTTTGCAGTATTACTTTAGTGCCTTGTTGCAAACAAGATGCATGTTTTGAAATATTTTTATTCTGTACAGGCTTCCTTCTTTTCACTGTGTCAATTAGGTTAGTATTGTGGAGTAACTGCAATGTTGTTGATCCATCCTCAGTTTTCTCCTATCACAGCCATTAAACTCTGTAATTGTTTGAAAGTCACCATTGGCCTCAGGGTGAAATCCTTAAGCAGTTTCCTTCCTCTCTGGCAACTGAGTTAGGAAGGATCCCTGTATATTTGTAGTGACTGGGTGTATTGATACTCCATCAAAAGTGTAATTAATAACTTCACCATGCTCAAAGGGATTTTAAATGTCTGCTTTTTTTTGTACCCGTCTACCAATAGGTGCCCTTCTTTGCGAGGCATTGGAAAACCTCCCTGGTCTTTGTGGTTGAATCTGTGTTTGAAATTCACTACTTGACTGAGGGACCTTACAAATTATCTGTATGTGTGGGGTACAGAGATGAAGTAGTCATTCAAAAATCATGTTAAACACTATTATTGCACACAGAGTGAGTCCATGCAACTTATTATGTGACTTGTTAAGCCCATTTTTACTCCTGAACGTATTTAAGCTTGCCATAACAAAGGGGTTGAATACGTATTGACTCAAGACATTTCAGCTTTTCATTTTTAATTAATTTGTAAAAATTTATTAAAACATAATTCCATTTTGACATTATGGGATATTGTGTGTAGGCTACTGACACAAAATCACAATTTAATCAATTTTTAATTCAGGTTGTAACGCAACAAAATGTGGAAAAAGTCAAGGGGTGTGAATACTTTCTGAAGACACTGTATGTGCTCCCTTGTGATGAGAGATGGACAGTGTGTTTCTCACAACAATCAGGTCTTTCCATGACACTGAATGCCAGGAAGGAGACTGGCAGTCTGGGCTCCTTCACAGTTTCTTTCTGCCCCTGTTGTTTGCGGAGCCAGGTCATTCTACTGCTCTATTCCCTTGAGCCAAAATGGAGTCAATAGAGTCACTAATTAATTTGAGCCGGAACGGAGTCATGGAGTCATATCTCCTATTGAGTTGAGGGAGGATGGCGTGACACAAAAGTTAATGATAGGACTACATAAATATATGTCAGATTTTCTGTTTAAAGTTATTTCCTTCAGATTTCACACATCTAAAACATCTGAAACCCCAGCAGTTTTCTTTGAAGTGAAAGCACTCAGGAATGTCTCTTAGGGGTTAGCAGTCGATAATGTCCTTATCAAAAAATGCCAAGTCACATTGTGATAAGCTGATTGTTCTCTTTGTTAACAACACCATTTACCTTTCTCAATGTCACAGCACCAATCAGGAAGTCACACAGGCCCGTCGTCAGGCAGAATGGAGCTAAAATATTGGGTAGATATTGTCCCTTATTGGTTATCTATTATTATTAGGGCCTTAAGTATTTATTGACTACATGGACAAACAAGGGAAAACTCTGAACCCTAGTTGTAGCCTATAAGTAGGGTCAGAGTTTCCCCTGGTCAGGTCATGTGGTCGAGAAAAACAGGATCCTACACTTATCATTGTACAAAGGCTATGGAACCAAACAGGCTGATTTTCTTTTGTTCATCCAAAAAGGATGTAAATACTGTACTTATCTATATGATGAAATACAGACTGAGGGATTGGTTTGAAACCTGAGATGACACAACATGAGATAACATGGGCTTCTGTGGGTAGTTAGTCGAGACATGGAGCCTCTACTGCTGTCCTATTACTACAGGGTATTTTGAAGCCATTCTACGTATATGCCACGTGCCAAACTCACTGACTGACGCAGAATCTGCTCTAGCACTCTATTTAGCTATTGAGTGAAATTCAATCCCATCACCGAAAACCCTTACAAAGCATCTATAAGAGGGAAAGTTACTCATAGCAATATGTTCATAGTTTTATCAATATGAGATTCATTGTGATGTAAATTCAGAGAAAGAGGTCACTTTTGCAGTCACACTGAGACATTAGGTTTGGTCTACTGAGATCACACTGAGACATGAGGTTTGGTCTACTGAAGTCACACTGAGACATGAGGTTTGGTCTACTGAGGTCACACTGAGACATGAGGTTTGGTCTACTGAGATCACACTGAGACATGAGGTTTGGTCTACTGAGGTCACACTGAGACATGAGGTTTGGTCTACTGAGATCACACTGAGACATGAGGTTTGGTCTACTGAGGTCACACTGAGACATGAGGTTTGGTCTACTGAGGTCACACTGAGACATGAGGTTTGGTCTACTGAGGTCACACTGAGACATGAGGTTTGGTCTACTGAGGTCACACTGAGACATGAGGTTTGGTCTACTGAGGTCACACTGAGACATGAGGTTTGGTCTACTGAGGTCACACTGAGACATGAGGTTTGGTCTACTGAGGTCACACTGAGACATGAGGTTTGGTCTACTGAGGTCACACTGAGACATGAGGTTTGGTCTACTGAGGTCACACTGAGACATGACGTTTGGTCTACTGAGGTCACACTGAGACATGAGGTTTGGTTTACTGAGGTCACACTGAGACATGAGGTTTGGTCTACTGAGATCACACTGTCTTGTTTTAATAGTACATATTGGAGCATCAACATTTTCAAGCATGAAAATGTTCCAAACAACAACAAAAATCAAACAAGGGGTCACACTCAAAATGTTATCCATCAAACTCAACAACTGCAGCAATTTCAGCCTCTATCTTGACAACAATACAAGCTTTACTCTGGCCCCTGTGAGGGGAAGAAAAGAGAAGGGTAGCAGATGGAGGGATAGATAGATGGAAGGAGGGAGGGAGGGATGTGATGGTGGGAATAGTGTCCTCCTCTGTCAGTCTGTTTGTTCAGTTTGTTTGCTGCCCTGCTCTGTGTAACGCGTGAGAGAATTCACACCGTCTTGCTGACTGTGGCCAGTCTCGCTGACTGAGGCCAGTCTCGCTGACTGTGGCCAGTCTCGCTGACTGTGGCCAGTCTCGCTGACTGTGGCCAGTCTCGCTGACTGTGGCCAGTCTCGCTGACTGTGGCCAGTCTCGCTGACTGTGGCCAGTCTGAGCAGCAGAGGAGCAAACACAGAAATAGAATAGGAACAGCTCCAGACAGAATTAGAATTCATAAAATGGACATTCCCCATTCTAAACCAATGTTCCGGACATATTTGGTGTTCCAGTTTGGAATGTTATATTCAGTTGGCTGGAAAAACAAACTGATCTGCTACCAGGCTAAGAATGTTCTATAGCACTACAGAATAGACAACATTATCATGAAAAATACATTATATTTGACCCTTTTCTGTGGATAACAGCCACTATAAGGATAATGTATGTGTGACATGAACACAGATTAAGCCATTTGTTGTCCCTTTCCACCCAGCAGTCCATCATGGAGGCTGGTGACAAACATAAGAAGCTACTTAATGGATCATAAAAACCTGGGAAAATGGGTAATCTCAATGTCTCCAGCAGTACTTTAACAGGGAATAACAACCTGTGTCTAGGACTAATGACAGATGCATTACTCTGTGTGTGTGTGTGAACCTACCTAATTCTCTGGAGACAGGGGACACGGAAGCAGTCTCTCCTATCTTTGACACAGCATCAAAGTACACCTTCCCAGCAAGAGTCATCACTGTGAGAAGACAAACAAACACAATCATATGAATGGATCTCCACAATCTCTACAAGATACCATATATTATGTGAGAGATCTAATTCAATTTTGTCCAAATATCGGGACAATAAATCACATTTTGTTCATATAACCCTTGTTTATAACAACATTTGTCACAAAGTGAGAGTAACCAGTAACCTCTTCACAGAGTCTCTTGACTAAATCCCAAAACACTCACACTTATCTTTTCCTACTAGCACTGACTTTTCTGATAACTTACTACGACTGTTTTCTCACCTAGCTACCTTAAGATAAATGAACTAACTGTGATATGTGGTTGTCTCACCTAGCTATCTTATTAAGATGAATGAACTAATTGTGATATGTGGTTGTCTCCCCTAGCTACCTTAAGATGAATGAACTAACTGTGATATGTGGTTGTCTCACCTAGCTATCTTAAGATGAATGAACTAACTGTGATATCTGGTTGTCTCACCTAGCTATCGTAAGATGAATGAACTAACTGTGATATCTGGTTGTCTCACCTAGCTACCTTAAGGTGAATGAACTAACTGTGAGATGTGGTTGTCTCCCCTTGCTATCATAATATGAATGCACTATGTGTAAGTCGCTCTGGATAAGAGCATCTGCTAAATGACTAAAATGTCCAAATGTAACCGGGCCTAGATCCCCAAAGATCAAGCAGCAGCACAGTGGCAACTGGCAAGGATCAACTCCCTAGAAGGAAGAAACCTTAAGAGGAACCAGACTCATCCTCATCTGGCTGTACTGTGTAGAAAACATCAACATGTTCTTACCGGCTACAGATTTCTCATAGTTCTTCCCCAGATTGACCAGGTTCCTCAAACCTGGGTTTAACTGCTCCATTACATTCTGCAAGAGAGAGGGGGCAGTGAGTGTAACTATTCTGAGAGAGAGGGGACAGTGAGTGTAACTATTCTGAGAGAGAGGGGGCAGTGAGTGTAACTATTCTGAGAGAGAGGGGGCAGTGAGTGTAACTATTCTGAACATATAAAAACAAAACAAAAAAACAAAAAAATTATACCAATGTCCAGTGGGAAAACTGACTTTTAATAAACAATGGCCAATTCTCTTGTTGTGGAGTGGATACACAGACATTTCTAATAAACAAGTTCAAATAAAGGATTGTCTCAATGTCATCATAAATAAAGGTGTAAATGTTTATGTGTTCATTCTATAAATAAGTCCAAGCTGAAATAAAACATTTTAATAATTAACATGATCCTTCACACTTAACAACTTTGTGGGAGTGAAGTTGTACACACAGTTTTTGCAGCAACAGGGCAGACTGAACCAAACCCAATCCCCCTCGTATTCAAATGGCCCACAATAAAATGTTGTTTAGGACTGGAGTCCCTGTTTCAATTCCCCAGGCACACCCTCAACAGAACAATTAACTGCCAGGTATGCATTAGGCCTACTCGCACCGTGCCAGAGAGAGAGAGAGAGAGAGAAAGAGAGAGAGAGCGAGTGAGAGAGAGAGAGCAAGAAAAATGAAAAAAAGAGAGAAGCAGGTTTCTCTTCAGTTGAAACTGTGGCACGTCATAAACAATGTAGAATTAATGTTGCTGACACTTTCGACTTCACCTGCAGAGTACATAACAGGTGGGGTTTGCTGGGGCATGTGATAAGCTTGACGCAAGTACACCAAATGGCCTTATAATTGATTAACTAACAAGAAGATATGGATTACTGGCCATATTTTAAGTTGACAAATCTTTTGCTTTTTCAGTTATTTGGAGAGGCCTATTTCACTGCCCTTTTTCGCTCTCACGGGCGAGTCACACGTGTACGCGTGCTCTCACGATACGCACTGTGCACGTTTATGGCCATATTATGGAATGGGTTCATGTATCTCCTATAGTAATAACTGGTTGTGCCCTAAAACTGAAGCCAATTGGAGCCTACAGCTATTGCCAAAGGCGACGATGGACATTGGCCAACTGGAAACCCTGTTGTTATAAAGTCAAGGTGAAGGTGGAGAAATGGGGAGCTACGATGAGAACATAGCCTAACAAAAAGCCTGCTTACCTTGTATGTACTTTCGGTCAGTTTATTCACATTGTCATGATCCCTAGACATGTTGGCAGTTATTTCTCTTTCTCTACAAGATAGAACAACAAAAAACAACCAAACCAAGCCAAAAACCAAAGTCAATCACTCGAAGTCTGTATAATTCCTTTCAAATCCAAGGGTGGGCTGTTTAGTTGTTCCAGGAGTAGTTTACGCTTGATGGCATCCGGCATTTGTCACACCTTGCATGTACACGGAGAACAGAAGCGCAACTGTACGCCGGTGGCCAAACAAACCGGAATCAACCGCTGCGCTGCCTGAAGCGAGACTGTCAAACTTCACTGTGTGTCCGCGGAGCGGGAGGCAGAAACCGTGGTATCCGAGACGTCACGACTTTAGTCAAACCATACAATTAGGAATGAGAACTTTCTCACTGACCAAGATGGCTCCCATTTAGTCTCATTCTGGAATTTTGAGGGATTATGATGACATAGTCCCTCTAGTAATTTAATAGGATCTCTAAGAGTCAAGCGCTTTCGGTGCTGTGCTTTTAGGTAGACATCAACTCGGAATTGGCAATAGGGGTTGGGCGCTCACTATGGCTCACTCTCCCGGGGCGGTTCTTGTTATTGCATTCGGATTAATTTAAATCACAATAGGCTTACTTTAAAATCAATTCACTCCCCCATTTGGCAATCGACATCAGTCTCATGTAAACACCTTCTAGGCCTAATTATGTTGTGGTTCATTGCTGGTTGTTGTACGTTGTATGTCTCTCGAGTGGCGCAGTGGTCTAAGGCACTAGAGATCCTGGTTCGAATCCGGGCTCTGTCGTATCCGGCCTCGATTGGCCCAGCGTCATCCAGGGTAGGGGAGGGAATGGTCCTCTGTAGCTCAGTTGGTAGAGCACGGCGCTTGTAACGCCAAGGTAGTGGGTTCGATCCCCGGGACCACCCATACACAAAAATGTATACACGCATGACTGTAAGTCGCTTTGGATAAAAGCGTCTGCTAAATGGCATATGTATTATTTATTTATAATGGCCGGCAGGGATGTAGCTCAGTTGGTAGAGCATGGGGTTGTGGGTTCGATTCCCACGGGGGGCCAGTATGAAAAAAATAAAACAAAAATAATGTAGGCACTCTGGATAAGAGCGTCTACTAAAATGTATATGTAATGTATGGGATATTGAGAGAAGACAACGTTGTTTTATATGGAATGGGCATGTCATTATTTTTCCTAGAGGGCTACCCTGACTGATGTTGTTTTCCATTTCACACATGTAGGCCTTGGCTTTTACACATCGGTTCAATTATTTGAATTCCATTTCCTCGGGTTTTTTCTGTGAGCTCAATGCGCACATTGCCTAGTTTCTCTAGAGCTAAATCAGATCAGCCGGAACTGTGCGATGTACTAGGGAGTTGTAGTTTCCAACAGGCCAGAAATCCACATAGTTTAGTGCAGAAACCGGGGTAATTAACTACAATGACCATAAACCATTGCGCGCCGGTCTGTGTGTTTAATTTAGGCCTGTTATGTTAGGTTAGTGTCCGGCAGACAGGAGAGAAAAGTCAGAAGAATGCAAGATCAAGAGTGATAGAAAGCGGTTGATAGCGAGCTATCTCTACCTGAAAATACATGATCTAAGTGATTGATAGTTGGTATTCAACAGTTATATTTACTTTGAAGCACTACTAAAATAGTGATTTTGTCAGACAGCATAGGCAGCAGCTCTATCAGTGGCGGCTCCTGAAAAAATTCTCAGGAGGGGCAATTTTTCTGATGATTTAGGTGACCTACACACATTTTAAAAAAGATATGTCCAGCAACAACATGAAGACAGGGGCAGCATATAAGTCAATACCAGAAGCATTTATTGACTGATCTCAAAAGTGTTGGCTTACCAGGGTTGGTGGAGCCCTCAGTTTCATCTTTGCCTCGCAAAGCTAACTCAAACACTCCGCAAAACTTCACACACTGGATTAGCCGGCTGAGGATGTGGCGGTTCTTGCTAATGTCGTAGTAAATATATTTGTTATAGTGAATATGGAATATGATATGTTGAGTAAAATGTTGTGCTAAGATCTATTTAGGTCAGGAGCTGGTTATAAGTTCTGTTCCTATCCAATAACAATGGACAAAAGGGTCCTATCTTGTCAGCCTTGTCAGCAGGTGGCCAAGGACAACACCCACGCCATAGGCCTCTCAGTTCTTCCAACTCACGAGTTCTTGCTCTGAGGACACACACACACACAAACACACACACACACACACACATCATCACTGTTAAACACACACACACACACACATCATCACTGTTAAACACACACACACACACACAAAAATCCCCTCTCTTAGGCTGAACATTTGAAGACAGAGAACCCGACTCAGAGCCAATGCAACAGTGACAGTAGCCTGCAGGGGACCTCGCCCAACTCATCAGGACCAATCAGAAGATCAGAACTACTAGATTGAACCTACTTCATTTATTGCATAAAATGTCTGCACACAATGTTTCGGGGCTCTCTTCAGATAATAATAATAATAATAATAATAATAATATGCCATTTAGCAGACGCTTTTATCCAAAGCGACTTACAGTCATGCGTGCATACATTTTTGTGTATGGGTGGTCCCGGGGATCGAACCCACTACCTTGGCGTTACAAGCACCATGCTCTACCAGCTGAGCTACAGAAAGTGGATACTCATGGATGCGCATTGCAATTGTAAAATGTCAACACAATTGGAGACACCACGTCATTTTTGGAGACATGTTATTGACAGTAAACTATTGTAGATGCGACTGCTAACTAACTAAAACATTTTAGCTGGCTAGCTAATCATCTTAGCTAAATGTGGGGCAAACAATTCAGTTATTTACCGTTAATTTGAGGGATTGGGGTGAAAGAAATCGAGTTACATAGTGATACTTTACGATATACTGTATTGACAATATCGCAATATTTTAGCGCTAGTTGGCTGTACCTGCACCAAAACACCATTATTGTTCCTTCATAGCTTGTTCTCAATCTTTTCACATTGGGAGCCAATTTGTTTTCAGCACTTTTATTTCCATGACTGATCAAAACTCGTTCTCATGGCTTTCTGATCCCTCTGCAACAGACATATGGTGCGCAATAAAATCACAGTATCGAATCGCAATACGTATAGAATCATGATACTCGCAATGCTGATGCATATATCTTATCGTGAGGTTCCTGGCAATTCCCAGCCCAAATTCATTTGCCACAAATCTCTTCGCTAGCAAACGCGATGTCTTCTCCAAAACGGCAATGTGTCTCCAGCAATGTTTACTTTTTTGACGTTCTATGGCATCTCCACTTTCCAAGCATATATGACCACATGTAATATTTTGGTAAGTGATGCAAATAGTGAACTATGTAGGGCCAGGATGTAAAATATATGTAGCTGCAGCAATTTCTCTTATCTGATATGGTAAGTAATGGGGCTTAATTTATAGCTCCCTAAGAGTTTGACGAACGGGTCCGTGAACGCGATTCCAGATATATTTACCTCTGAATAAACTGCCTTTATTACACCATATCCACATCCAGTAAACTTGTGATTATCAACACTAACCTCATCGTTGTGGCGGCGGACAGCTAGCCTGTATCCCTCGTCATCCAGTTGAGTGAGTGGCAATGTCTTTTTTCGTTCGTACCAATTTTTGGAAAATCCTCGGGTGTAGGACTTTCCGCCTTTAGTAGAAACCTGTTGAATTATTAAATTTGGTCTGGGAGGTCCTAATTGTTTCGTTGCCAATTTATCTTAATTTGTTCGCCGACAAAAAGGAACTTCTTTCAAACAATCCACTCTTTTCTCAGTTACGTTCATGGTTACGTAACGTATGACGAAAGCGCGTAAGTGCAAGCCCACAGACACCCATTGAGATTGTATTGAAGGCTCTGAAATTTGAAAAAAATAGATTTTACATGGGAGTCTATGACAGAAGTTCTGGGCGATTTTCAACCTGACTGAAATCGCCCCAAAAGGGGGTGGAGCCATTTGAAGCACGACTTTAGCCTGATTCGACATTTAGTGGCAGTGTGGCACTGTGGCAGATCAGACGTATAGATTACAACACTGATAACTACTGTTGCCGTGATATAATTGATTAGAAAAAAAATCCCTTCCTTTTCCCGTTTGGCAGTGCGTCGCCCATATCGCCCTATTGAACAGGCCGTCCCTGCAACAGGTGTAGACTTTACAGTGAAACGCTTACTCACGAGCCCATTCCCAACAATGCAGAGTTAAAAAGTAAGACAAATATTTGCTAAATAAAAAGGTAAATAATAACACAATAAAAATAATAACGAGGCTATATACAAGGAGTACCGGTAGCGAGTCAATGTGCAGGGGTACGAGGTAGTTGAGGTAATTGAGGTAATACATGTGGATAGAGGATAAATTGATTAGGCAATCAGGATAGATGATAAACAGAGTAAAGTGTGTCTATGTGCAAGTGTGTGTGTGGCGTCAATATGCATGCGTGTGTGTTTTGTGTGTGTGAGCGTATGTAGTGTGTGTGTGTGTGAGCATATGTAGTGTGTGTGTGTGTTGGAGTGTCAGTGCAGTATGTGTGTGAGTGTGGGTAGAGTCTAGTGAGCGTGCATAGAGCCAGTGCAAAACAATTAAGATAAATACATAAATGATAAAGGGGGTCAATGTAAATTGTCTGGATAGTCATTTGATTAACTGCACAGCAGTCTTATGGCTTGGGGGTAGTATAAGTTATTCAGGTGTCCTTTCGGGAAGAAGCTTCGTCGTGCCCTCTTCATGACTGTGTTTGTGTGTTTGGACCATGATAGGTCCTTAAAGATGTGGACACCGAGGAACTTGAAGCTCTCACTGTACACCTTAGTACTGTACATAGGACTGCCCTATATGATATAAAAATGCAAGCTTATGAAGTCAGCCATGTTCTATCTACTGCAGTAGATAATTGTATTTATTAGCTAGACCCTTGTTTGATGTAAGCTATATAAGCTGCTTGCGTCTCAGTAATGAGTTCAAGTATTAAATATGGCCACAAGATGGAGCCATACACAGAGAAATTACTGGACTGGTCCCCTGTGAACGACGCCTTTCATTGCTTCTTTGAACTCCTACGTCACACTAGGGATGAATTAGTAATTTATTTTAGATCATAGTGAGTGAGACCACTTTTGATGGTCATTGTCAAGTGTATCGGACCTAATATGAACTATTGGATAATGGTGCTTAGTGCTGAGTGATTAGTGCTTTTTGAGGTCTGTTCGGTTTCGGTTCGATTATTAAAAAATAATCACGGTTTTCAGTTTCTATTTATTTTTTTAAACATTAAATGCACTATGCATTATGTGGTTTGAATGCAGTAACAACACAGAATACAACAATTAATAAAAGTTCCATGATGGTAGTGACTGCCCATTACTGCTCACTTATTAACCATCAGTTATTCACATTACTTTACTTTAATAAAATATATCAGTTGTTGTCTATATTACATTTGTTTTATTTGATGACTTTATTATTTTATTCCAAGTCATCATCTCATCTCTATAGAGCTCAGGGACGGCCTGTTCAATAGGGCGATATGGGCGACGCACTGCCAAACGGGAAAAGGAAGGGATTTTTTTTCTAATCAATTATATCACGGCAACAGTAGTTATCAGTGTTGTAATCTATACGTCTGATCTGCCACAGTGCCACACTGCCACTAAATGTCGAATCAGGCTAAAGTCGTGCTTCAAATGGCTCCACCCCCTTTTGGGGCGATTTCAGTCAGGTTGAAAATCGCCCAGAACTTCTGTCATAGACTCCCATGTAAAATCTATTTTTTTCAAATTTCAGAGCCTTCAATACAATCTCAATGGGTGTCTGTGGGCTTGCACTTACGCGCTTTCGTCATACGTTACGTAACCATGAACGTAACTGAGAAAAGAGTGGATTGTTTGAAAGAAGTTCCTTTTTGTCGGCGAACAAATTAAGATAAATTGGCAACGAAACAATTAGGACCTCCCAGACCAAATTTAATAATTCAACAGGTTTCTACTAAAGGCGGAAAGTCCTACACCCGAGGATTTTCCAAAAATTGGTACGAACGAAAAAAGACATTGCCACTCACTCAACTGGATGACGAGGGATACAGGCTAGCTGTCCGCCGCCACAACGATGAGGTTAGTGTTGATAATCACAAGTTTACTGGATGTGGATATGGTGTAATAAAGGCAGTTTATTCAGAGGTAAATATATCTGGAATCGCGTTCACGGACCCGTTCGTCAAACTCTTAGGGAGCTATAAATTAAGCCCCATTACTTACCATATCAGATAAGAGAAATTGCTGCAGCTACATATATTTTACATCCTGGCCCTACATAGTTCACTATTTGCATCACTTACCAAAATATTACATGTGGTCATATATGCTTGGAAAGTGGAGATGCCATAGAACGTCAAAAAAGTAAACATTGCTGGAGACACATTGCCGTTTTGGAGAAGACATCGCGTTTGCTAGCGAAGAGATTTGTGGCAAATGAATTTGGGCTGGGAATTGCCAGGAACCTCACGATAAGATATATGCATCAGCATTGCGAGTATCATGATTCTATACGTATTGCGATTCGATACTGTGATTTTATTGCGCACCATATGTCTGTTGCAGAGGGATCAGAAAGCCATGAGAACGAGTTTTGATCAGTCATGGAAATAAAAGTGCTGAAAACAAATTGGCTCCCAATGTGAAAAGATTGAGAACAAGCTATGAAGGAACAATAATGGTGTTTTGGTGCAGGTACAGCCAACTAGCGCTAAAATATTGCGATATTGTCAATACAGTATATCGTAAAGTATCACTATGTAACTCGATTTCTTTCACCCCAATCCCTCAAATTAACGGTAAATAACTGAATTGTTTGCCCCACATTTAGCTAAGATGATTAGCTAGCCAGCTAAAATGTTTTAGTTAGTTAGCAGTCGCATCTACAATAGTTTACTGTCAATAACATGTCTCCAAAAATGACGTGGTGTCTCCAATTGTGTTGACATTTTACAATTGCAATGCGCATCCATGAGTATCCACTTTCTGTAGCTCAGCTGGTAGAGCATGGTGCTTGTAACGCCAAGGTAGTGGGTTCGATCCCCGGGACCACCCATACACAAAAATGTATGCACGCATGACTGTAAGTCGCTTTGGATAAAAGCGTCTGCTAAATGGCATATTATTATTATTATTATTATTATTATTATCTGAAGAGAGCCCCGAAACAATGTGTGCAGACATTTTATGCAATAAATGAAGTAGGTTCAATCTAGTAGTTCTGATCTTCTGATTGGTCCTGATGAGTTGGGCGAGGTCCCCTGCAGGCTACTGTCACTGTTGCATTGGCTCTGAGTCGGGTTCTCTGTCTTCAAATGTTCAGCCTAAGAGAGGGGATTTTTGTGTGTGTGTGTGTGTGTTTAACAGTGATGATGTGTGTGTGTGTGTGTGTTTAACAGTGATGATGTGTGTGTGTGTGTGTGTTTGTGTGTGTGTGTGTCCTCAGAGCAAGAACTCGTGAGTTGGAAGAACTGAGAGGCCTATGGCGTGGGTGTTGTCCTTGGCCACCTGCTGACAAGGCTGACAAGATAGGACCCTTTTGTCCATTGTTATTGGATAGGAACAGAACTTATAACCAGCTCCTGACCTAAATAGATCTTAGCACAACATTTTACTCAACATATCATATTCCATATTCACTATAACAAATATATTTACTACGACATTAGCAAGAACCGCCACATCCTCAGCCGGCTAATCCAGTGTGTGAAGTTTTGCGGAGTGTTTGAGTTAGCTTTGCGAGGCAAAGATGAAACTGAGGGCTCCACCAACCCTGGTAAGCCAACACTTTTGAGATCAGTCAATAAATGCTTCTGGTATTGACTTATATGCTGCCCCTGTCTTCATGTTGTTGCTGGACATATCTTTTTTAAAATGTGTGTAGGTCACCTAAATCATCAGAAAAATTGCCCCTCCTGAGAATTTTTTCAGGAGCCGCCACTGACCTGTTGTATTCTGCGCATGTGACCAATGACATTTGATTTTCTAGGTAAAAAGGAGGAAAAGATAGCGTTGGCCATTCCTAAGAGGTGTCCAGCACATTTTTGATGTGGGCCATAAACTCAGTGAGGAAAATCAATTGTGCTACCTCCACTATCGTCAGCGACTTACAACACCTTTACATTTTAGTCATTTAGCAGACGCGCTTATCCAGAGCGAAATACAATTGTGAGTGCAAACATTTTCCGTACTGGTCCTCCGTGGGAATCGAACCCACAGCGTTGCAAGTGCCATGCTCCACCAACTGAGCCACACGAGACACAACAACTCTTTGTATTCCGACGCACATGGTAAAACGCATGGACAGGATTTCAAGCTATTATGTATATCTGGGAAACATAAAGGGCATGAACAATTTGCTGGCATCGGCTGACAAAGCATCTATTTAAGGTTGTCCATTTGAAGACTCTCCCCATTTCTCAATTTTTTTGTCCTGAAGTAGCCTACACCATTTTCCTCTTCTGTGAGCGGACAAGCGCAAATGTATCGGTAAATATGATGTGTTGTATGTTTAATATTTGGGCAAATAAGCAGAATTACATTACAGTAAATGTAACATCATTTTGTGAACTTCTGGTTTATGATTTCAGAAACATAATTGCGTTGGTCGTAATGTCACTTCCAGTGATTCTGAGCCCTCAGGTTTTGGGGGTCGCGACAGACGGTTTGAGCAATCTTCGTAGGTTTACTATTACGCATAACATTATTTCAATACAACACATTTTTAACACAATTTATAGTAAACTTATATATTTTTTACTTTTTTATTCAGAAGATATTGCAGGGAAGCTTAACTTCATTCAGAGGGAAGGAAATGTGACTTACGTGCGGGACAAGGAGCTGGCCTCGGAGGTTCCAACCGAGACCAAGTTCGAACTGTTCGATCCAAGGAACACTTTACGCACCGCCAGATTCACCTATACCTGGGACTTCGGCAACGGGTAGGCCTGTGTGGACTTCGCCTGTTTATCATCGAATATATGTTTTGTAGTTTTCCTTTTTATAGTTAAGGCTATACATTTAAATATTATGTGGTTGTTTTATTTGTTATTTATTTATTCGATGTTGTGTGGTGCTGTTTTTTACTGTAGGGATTACTGTTGTTTTCTATTGTATTGTCAGTGTTGTATGTATTCCATCAGGGACCACATATCCCCTGGGTTGTCCCCCCCCCCATCAATCAATCAATCAATCAATCAATCAATATTCTGGTTTTGTAAGAGAGGTCTTAATGGGATCAAAGCCGTCTGTGTACTATAACTACTCCTCCTCTGGAAACTACACTCTGCGGCTGAGAGTGGTGGCCCAAATGAACAAAATCTCTACTCCACTAACTGGGGAATATATCATGGACGTTACAGTTTTGGGTAGGTAGACGGAATACAACATTTTTGTTGATAATTATTTGATTTGAAATGGTGTGTTTTGGCAACGTTGAGAGGACATCTCTCATTAATTTAGTGAAATCCGTTTTTAAAATCACATTATGTCTACCATACAGCACTGGTCGCCAACAATTGAGGTGTATTGCATATCTCTGCTATTTTCCAGACGCCATCAGAAATATTGAGTTGAGCCCTTTGATATTCCAGGTTTCCAGAAACAACAGTCTGGCTGTTCATGTGGATGGAAGGTGCGTACAATTTCTCAGTAGGCCCACACAATGAACACATACAACCTCCTAAACATGTATAACACATAAAATAATCAGCTCATTTATTCTCTTTCTCTCGCAATTCAATTCAATTCAATTTAAGGGCTTTATTGGCATGGGAAACGTATGTTAACATTGCCATAGCAAGTGAAGTAGATAGTAAACAAAAGTGAAATAAACAATAAATATTAACAGTAAACATTACACTCAGAGGTTTCAAAAGAATAAAGACATTTCAAATGTCATATTCTGTCTAAATACAGTGTTGTAACAATGTGCAAATAGTTAAAGTACAAATGGGAAAATAAATAAACATAAATATGGGTTAGATTTACAATGATGTTTGTTCCTCTCCATTTATTCTCTCTCACTCTCTCTCTCCTCTCTCTCTCTCCTCTCTCTCGCTCGCTCTCCTCTCTTGCTCTCCCCTCTCTCTCTATCTCCCCCCCCCCCCCCTCTCTCTCTCTCTCTCTAGTCCTCCCATGTGGGTCTGCTGGAGGTTCCTACAGAACTGTGTATCAGCAACCCCTACAGGCTGTCACCTGACCATGCTGTATGAGAACACCATGATACTGAACCACACCTTCACATCTTTAGGAGTCCACTGTCTGGACATCAGTGCCCGCAACGACATCAGCAAACTGCAGACCTCCTACAGCATCTTTGTGAGGAGAGATCGTAAGTCAGGTGTTATCATGAGGTCTGTGGAGATTTGGTCCACTTTAGTCACGCTAGGCTACAGTACAGTACAGTACACACTTTGTCCTCTCACTATCAATACAGTATAGACTGTTTGATATAGTACAAATGATCCATCTATTAGTACAGTGTCGCTCAGCGGTTCTGGTAGCACAAGGACTTTTGATGATAATTTACCTCTTTAGAGTTCATGGTTCTTCCAGTAATCTCAAAGTGAACCGAGTGATAGTGTGTTCAGAGAAATGAAAAGACGTCAGAGGGACAGTGGCCAGGGTTGAGGAATACAGCTAAGGAGTTCTGGAGGAGAGCAATTCAACGGTAGGACCCACACCCCATACTGTATATGTCTCCTGTGGTGAATTGATTTGTGGTGGATGGTACGATTACAGAGGAGTTTCAGGAAGCTTGTGAACTCATTGTAATGCATAAGAAATAGATTGTTTAAAACCAGAAGACTAAAAGAATGATGAATGATGGTTTGTGTAAATAGGAACATGATTCAATGGTGCACAAAGTTAAGACAAGAGGAGACATGCTAATAATCATGTGTGCAGACACTGGGGAGTATGACAATTACTAATTGGGAGATAATTGTAACCAAGAACTTCTGACCAGTATTGAAGCTTGTCTAACTGCATCATGTAATACTGTAGAAAAACAGTTATCTCTTTGTCTTCTTATAGCCTCCATTAACCTGCTCTTCACCCTGACGTGTGCTGGGATCATCTTGGCAATCCTCGCCTTCATCACTGTTATAGCCTGTCGCACTAAGAATGGACACAACAACAAATCACAGGTTGGAGACTGACAGAGAGACTTGTTGAAGAATGTTAGGCCCTGTTTCAATACTCCTCCCAAAGATAGGAGGCTATTCTACAATGTGTCCACAAGGGGGTGATATATACCTAACAAATTGACTAACGATCAACTCCAAAAATTGTCCGTAGCTGTAGAAAGCACTGTCAAGCGGTGTTGTAGTACTGGAGTACAGGATTCAGTTTTGATTCAGACTCAAGTCACGATTCTCATGACTCGTGACTCGGACTCGATCAGTATTGACTCGGACTTGGACTCGACCAGTAGTTGAGTTGTCAGAAAATCTCTCTCTTTTGCATAATTCAACATACTAGCTACAACAGCAAATGTTAGAAAAATAGCTATATTATCTAATCAGCCTTACAAAAGTGCAAACATTGTAATGAAAGCTATCTTAAAAAACGGTTGGACCACAGCTTTTAGCACTACCAAGGGACTCGTGACTTGAGTATAAAGGACTCAGACTTGGATCCGGACTCAAGGTTTACTGGAATCTACATCACTGCTGTCAAGTGATGGGAATTTGCACAGTGCATTTGTTCTTGTTCAATATGGAATTACTAAGAAATGTTCAGACAATGTAGCCCTATAAACACCAAAAAACACTTGTGTGTCAGTGTAAATGTTTATATTTGTTTGTATATTTATTATTTTACAGATATCTAAGTCCAGTAACGCCACTTACTCCAGCATGGACATGGAACTACAGCCGCAACAGGACATCCCTGGTATCACTAGTGATATCTATGTGTCCAGGCCAAAGAAAGGAGAGGTCCAACCCCTTCTGCAGCACGGGACCAGATCTGTCGCCTACTCCTGCCGCATCTAGTCTTCATTTACACACTTTTGATTTGGGCTTTGTGTTGGACTGATTCAAGTCAAATGTTAATAGTTTGCTAAAAATGTATGGTTTGAGATGAATATATGTCACCAGTAACATTGAATTATTAATTGTCAGTGATGTAATAGTGATGTAGCTTACATTCCTCTGTCTGTGTGGATTCTATACTTACACTATTTTGCCTTTGATGATCCCATCCTCAGACCCAGCGAAAAGACTGACCTCGAAAACTAAATATCCATCCAAGGGGTTTTAGAGCAGTGGTTCCCACTATGATGATAGATGAGACCTGCCAGTAACCCTGTAGGGAACGGTCCTAATGGGTATTACTCAATGATTTATATATACGCTAGATTACTGATTGGTGGCGCTGTGTTGAAGCCACCGTGCCTCCATTTTGGCACTCCCCCACCATTGTAAAAACAATTTTGGAAAGCTATAGAAATTCATTTATTATATTTCTACATTAGGTTTTGCCACATTTATTCTATTACAGACACCATATCGCATACTTTTAAATATTATTAGATCCCTATGTTACTGTCTCCACTACAAGCAAAAAAGATTTAAATACATGTCATTTTGTCCTTTAAACATTTAATTGATATACTGTAGAGTTCCATACATTCCTGTGGAGGACTGAACCTACAGGGGAGTGCCAATATGGCTGACCGGCGGCTTCAAAGCCTCTCAATGACAAATACATAGCATAAGCAATCCAGTGTTCATATACATCATTGGTATTACCTAGCCATACTGGCTGTCACCACAGATGATCCATTATATTGACCAGATACTCCATTGGCCACTCTAATAATGAAAATAAATGTCTTCAAAAATGGAAGGAAGTCTGGAGGAAAAGAGATCAAGTAGGACCATTCTAGCCAATGAGAGGGCAGATACACGTGTGACAACAGGCAGAACTCTGATATAAGGTGCTTTTTATGTCACATCCTACTAATATCAGTACAGTCGTAACAACCTAAGCATTACGAAACCTCTATTCGATCAAATAAGCCACACGTAGCAAATAAGCCATTCAATTTTTGGTTAACCAAATTCGACACTCTCTTTGACCTCCATACAAAAAACCTTGCTTGGTGAGCGAAAAAATTTAAAATAAATAAACGCCACCTGCTGGAGAAGACAGATTTTGGGCCGAGTGATCCCTCTGGCTTCGCCTCTTCCTCTCTGCTGTCACCAAACCCACCTTTCTGTCAGGGCTACAGAGATGAATTCATGACTAATGACAATGTCTTTGAGATGAAAGGACTTGATTGACAGGTAGCTTTAGCTTGCATAAGATTTTTTTTGCAGACTCACCAACATCTTAAAAACATTTTAATTTAATTTACAAAATAATTTAGTGGAATGCCAAGAAAGACAATGCTGAAAGTAAAAATAAATCAAGTTTCGTTGTCAGTAAGAAGTCTTGTTATATTTACAATGTTATACACTGGTTATTGTCCCCCAAATCCATGTATATGTTGGGTCATTTTCTATGAAGGTATCTTTACTTTTACTCAAGTATGACAATTGGGTACTTTTTCCACCACTGAATGGTCGACCGACTAGTTTCACACTGCTAGGTCTGGGGCCTTTTCTCATTTGAACAAAAGTCAGTCCTTCGTCCTCTCTCCTCGTCCTCTCGCCTCCGTGACCCGACACCGATAAGTGGTCAAGTGGTGGAGTGTGTCAATCCATTAGTAAGCTAAAGGAAAAAGGTCCTCCCCTTCTCTCAATCCATTAGTAAACTAAAGGAAAAAGGTCCCCTTCTCTCAATCCATTAGTAAGCTAAAGGGAAAAAGGTCCTCCCCTTCTCTCAAACCATTAGTAAACTAAAGGAAAAAGCTCCTCCCCTTCTCTCAATCCATTAGTAAGCTAAAGGAAAAAGCTCCTCCCCTTCTCTCAAACCATTAGTAAGCTGAAGGAAGAAGGTCTTACCCTTCTCTCAATCCATTAGTAAGCTGAAGGAAGAAGGTCTTACCCTTCTCGATAGCCTCCTTTCGGCGAGGAAGCACGCGTATTCTACCGCGGAAGAGGTTTGATTTCTGCCACACCCCCTCAGATGTTGTATTGTCGAGGAGAAAAGCATGCTCACATTTAAAAACGATATGCCAATACCGAGTTGTTGATCCACCTAAAAGCAAAGCAAAGCACCGAAATTGCTTGACTAAATCCGTGAAGTCACGGGTACCACCTTTTCTGCCTCCCACTCCACGGAAACAGAGAAGGTGAAGTTTGACAGCCTCACTTCAGGCAGCGCAGTGTTTGATTCCGATACGGTTTGGGATACTTAGAGAAGACAACGTTGTTATATATAAAATGGTGGCATTGTAATTATTTTTCCTAGAGACGTACCACGACTAATGTTGTATTCCACTTCACACCTGTAGGTGTTGGCTTTTAAGCAGAGAACCCTTACGCATTTTAAGCGCCATTAGCCAGTAGTTAATATTAGGTCCTATACACTTGACAATGGCCATCAAAAGTATACTTACTCACTATGATCTAAAAATGAGTTCACAGAAGCGATGAAAGGCGTCATTCACAGGGGACCAGTCCAGTAATTTCTCTGTGTATGCCTCTATCCTGTTGTCATATTCAATACTTGAACTCATAACTGAGATGCAAGCAGCTTCCTTAGCTTACATCAAACAAGGGTCTAGCTAATTTTACTGAACAAAAATATAAACTCAACATGGAACAATTTCTAAGATTTGACTGTTACAGTTCATATAAGGAAATCAGTCAATTTAAATAAATTCATCAGGCCCTAATCTATGGATTCCACATGACTGGGAATAGAGATATGCATCTGTTGGTCACAGATACCTTAAAAAAAAGGTAGGGACGTGGATCAGAAAACCAGTCAGTATCTGGTGTGACCACCATTTGTCTCATGCAGCGCGTCACATCTTGTCACGGATTTAGCCGAGGCTGCTCCTCCTCCTTGCTCGGGCAGGCTTCTGCGTTCGTCGTCCCCGGAGTACTAGCTGCCACCGATCTAGGTTTCAGCAATCATCTAGATTGGTCTGCTTTGTGTACACCTGTTTCCCATTAGTGTTGATGGTTTCCCTTTATAACCCCTGTCTGTCATTCGTTTGTTGTGTGTGATTGTTCTCCGTTTGTTTTCGGCAGGACTGTGTATTGCGATTATTGTTCCTCCCTGTTTTGGAGGTTTTGTTGTTTTGTAGTTTTCATTACGTTTATTAGTAAAGTACATCTGCCAGTCTCTCGGTGTCCTGCGCTTGACTTCGTTCACCGCATACACGTTTATCCTGACAGAATCACACACCTTCCATGGAGTCAGCAGGAGCGGCGGTGCCAGCTGGATCAGTGGAGGAACGCATTGAACAACAAGCGGCCATGATCCAGGCTCTCGGCACCGCCATGGAACGGGTGGTGAGCACTATGGAGCGATGGGAAAGAGGGGGTCTGCCTACACCTCCTCCTACGATACCACCACCATCGGCATTACCCATCGCTTCTCCTCCGGGGTCCAGTGGGATTCGGCTCTCGCTCCCGAGGGCTTATGATGGCACAGCTGCCGGGTGTCAGGATTTCCTGCTCCAGGTTGAACTCTACCTGGCAACCATCCACCCGGTGCCCTCGGGATACGAGAGCGTGTCCGCCCTCATCTCCTGTCTGTCCGGCAAGGCGCTGGAGTGGGCCAACGCCAAGTGGGGGGGAATAGACGCCGCTAATGTCAACTATGCGGAGTTCACCCGCCGCTTCAGGGCAGTTTTCGATCATCCACCAGAGGGTAAGGCGGCAGGTGAGCGTCTATTCCACCTCAGGCAGGGGAGGAGGAGCGCACAGGAGTTCGCGCTGGACTTCCGGACGCTGGCTGCCAACGCGGAATGGAATGAGAGGGCCCTCATCGACCACTACCGATGTAGCCTGAGGGAGGACGTGCGTCGGGAATTGGCCTGCAGGGACACCAACTCAGCTTCGACCAACTGGTGGACATGTCTATTCGCCTGGATACCCTGTTGGCTACCCGCGGACGTCCGGATTCAGGGCCGTCCATTCCATCCCCCAGCACTTCCGAGCCGACCCCTATGGAGCTCGGAGGTGCTGGTGCTAGGGAGACCAGGAGAGTGGCCAGGAGGGAGGCCGTCCCCTGCACCAACTGTGGCCGCAGAGGACACACTGCTGGTCGGTGCTAGGGAGGGTCTCCTGGGATTTGAGGCGGTAGGCAGCGCACTGATGAGTAGGCACCCAACTCACCCAGAGCTCTCTGGTGCGCATATGTGTATTACTGTTATGTTTCCCGAGGTCTCTCCTCATTCCCAGCATAAGGCGCTAGTAGATTCAGGCGCAGCTGGGAATTTTATAGATCGCCAGTTCACCTATAAGTTAGGGATTCCTATTGTACCCGTTGATGTGCCCTTCCCCATCCATGCCCTAGATAGCCGTCCTTTGGGGTCAGGATTGATTAGGGAAGTCACAGCACCTCTCAAGATGAAAACGCAGAAGGGCCATGAGGAGTTAATTAGTCTGTATTTGATGGATTCTCCTGCTTTTCCCGTGGTGTTGGGACTCCCCTGGTTAATGTCACATTACCCTAACATTTCACGGCAGCAGAGGGCTCTCAAGGGATGGTCTGATCAGTGTTTCGGGCGGTGTGTAGGTGTTTCCGTAGGGGCAACGACGGTGGAAAGTCCGAACCAAGTTCCCCCCATGCACCTTCCACCTGAATATGCCAATTTGGCGCTCGCCTTCAGTAAAAAGAAGGCGACTCAATTACCACCTCATCGACAGGGGGATTGTGCGATAGACCTCCAAGTAGGCGCTGCCCTTCCTCGTAGTCATGTGTATCCTCTGTCTCAGGAGGAGACGGCGGCTATGGAGACATATGTCGCCGAATCTCTGGGACAGGGATACATACGGCCATCCACTTCCCCTGTGTCATCAAGTTTCTTTTTTGTGAAGAAGAAGGATGGGGGTTTACGCCCGTGTATTGATTACCGTGGTCTCAATCAGATCACAATCAAGTACAGCTATCCTCTCCCTCTGATTGCTAGTATGACGGAGTCATTACACGGGGCGCGATTCTTCACAAAATTGGACTTCAGGAGCGCGTACAACCTGGTGCGCATTAGGGAGGGAGATGAGTGGAAGACAGCATTTAGTACAACCTCGGGTCACTATGAGTACCTTGTCATGCCATATGGTTTAATGAATGCTCCTTTAGTATTCCAATCGTTTGTGGACGAGATTTTCCGGGACTTGCATGGACAGGGTGTAGTGGTGTATATTGATGACATTCTAATATACTCCGCTACACGCGCCGAGCATGTGTCCCTGGTGCGTCGGGTGCTTGGTAGACTGTTGGAGCATGACCTGTATGTGAAGGCAGAGAAGTGTCTGTTCTTCCAGGAATCCATCTCCTACCTGGAGCATCGGTTGTCCGCGTCAGGGGTGGAGATGGAGATTGACCGCGTTTCAGCCATGCGTAATTGGCAGACTCCCACCACGGTGAAGGAAGTGCAGCGGTTTTTGGGTTTTGCCAATTACTACCGGAGGTTTATCCGGGGCTTTGGACAGGTAGCAGCTCCCATCACCTCCCTGCTAAAGGGGGGTCCGGCGCGTCTGCAGTGGTCGGCTGAGGCGGACAGGGCGTTTAGACATCTGAAGGACCTGTTTACCTCGGCTCCGGTGCTGGCACATCCGGATCCCTCTTTGGCGTTCCAAGTCGAGGTGGATGCGTCCGAGGCTGGGATTGGTGCTGTACTATCTCAGCGCTCAGGTACGCCACCAAAACTCCGCCCCTGTGCCTTCTTCTCTAAGAAGCGCAGTCCGGCGGAGCGTAATTATGACGTGGGGGACAGGGAGCTGTTGGCTATAGTCCAAGCCTTGAAGGTGTGGAGACATTGGCTTGAGGGGGCTAACCACCCTTTTCTCATTTTGACTGACCATCGTAACCTGGAGTACATCCGGGCAGCGAGGAGGCTAAACCCTCGCCAGGCAAGGTGGGCCATGTTCTTTACCAGATTTGTATTTAAACTCACCTATAGACCAGGGTCACAGAACACTAAGGCGGACGCCCTGTCCCGACTGTATGACACAGAGGAGAGGTCCATTGAGCCCACTCCCATACTTCCGGAGTCTTGTCTGGTGGCACCGGTGGTGTGGGAGGTTGATGCGGACATCGAGCGGGCGTTACGTACCGATCCTACTCCCCCACAATGTCCAGAGGATCGGAAGTACGTGCCGCTCGAGGTTTGTGATCGATTGATCTATTGGGCTCACACGTCACCCTCCTCTGGTCATCCTGGTATTGGTCGGACGGTGCACTGCCTTAGTGGGAAGTACTGGTGGCCCACTTTAGCTAAGGACATGCAGGTTTATGTTTCCTCCTGCTCGGTGTGCGCCCAGTGTAAGGCGCCTAGACACCTACCCAGAGGGAAATTACAACCCCTACCCGTTCCACAACGGCCGTGGTCGCACCTATCGGTGGATTTTGTCACGGACCTTCCCCCCTCCCAGGGGAACACTACGATCTTGGTCGTTGTGGATCGGTTTTCAAAGGCCTGCCGTCTCATTCCTATGCCAGGTCTCCCTACAGCCCTACAAACTGCTGACGCCCTGTTTACACACGTCTTCCGGCACTACGGGGTGCCTGAGGATATAGTGTCTGATCGGGGTCCCCAGTTCACCTCTAGAGTCTGGAAGGCGTTTATGGAACGTCTGGGGGTCTCGATTAGCCTTACCTCAGGTTTTCACCCCGAGAGTAATGGGCAGGTGGAAAGAGTTAACCAGGATGTGGGTAGGTTTCTGAGGTCCTATTGCCAGGACCGGCAGGGGGAGTGGTCGGTATATATCCCCTGGGCGGAGATAGCTCAAAACTCACTCCGTCACTCCTCCACTAACATTACGCCTTTTCAGTGTGTGCTGGGTTATCAGCCGGTTCTGGCACCTTGGCATCAGAGCCAGATCGAAGCCCCTGCGGTGGACGAGTGGTTTCGGCGCTCGGAGGAGACATGGAACGCTGCGCATGTCCATCTGCAACGGGCCATCAGGCGGCAGAAGGCGAGCGCCGATCGCCACCGTAGTGAGGCTCCGGTGTATGCACCGGGAGATCGGGTCTGGCTCTCGACCCAAAACCTGCCCCTTCGCCTGCCCTGCCGGAAGCTGGGTCGGCGGTTTGTGGGGCCATTTAAAGTCCTGAGGAGATTGAACGAGGTATGCTATAGATTACAACTGCCAATTAATTACCGCATTAACCCCTCATTCCATGTGTCTCTCCTCAGGCCGGTGGTAGCTGGTCCAATCCAGGAGAGTGAGGTACGAGAGGTTCCTCCGCCCCCATTGGACATCGAGGGGGCTCCGGCGTACTCAGTCCGTTCCATCTTGGATTCAAGGCGTCGGATGGGGGGCCTGCAGTATCTTGTGGAGTGGGAGGGGTACGGTCCGGAGGAACGGTGCTGGGTCCCTAGGAGGGACATCCTAGACCCCTCCATGCTGAGGGATTTCCACCGGAGTCATCCGACTCGCCCTGCTCCGCGTCCTCCTGGCCGTCCCCGAGGCCGGGGTCGGCGCACGGCTGGAGCCGCGCGTCAAGGGGGGGGTACTGTCACGGATTTAGCCGAGGCTGCTCCTCCTCCTTGCTCAGGCAGGCTTCGGCGTTCGTCGTCCCCGGAATACTAGCTGCCACCGATCTAGGTTTCAGCAATCATCTAGATTGGTCTGCTTTGTGTACACCTGTTTCCCATTAGTGTTGATGGTTTCCCTTTATAACCCCTGTCTGTCATTCGTTTGTTGTCTGTGATTGTTCTCCGTTTGTTTTCGGCAGGACTGTGTATTACGATTATTGTTCCTCCCTGTTTTGGAGGTTTTGTTGTTTTGTACTTTTCATTACGTTTATTAGTAAAGTACATCTGCCAGTCTCTCGGTGTCCTGCGCTTGACTTCGTTCACCGCATACACGTTTATCCTGACACATCTCCTTCGCACACAGTTGATCAGGCTGTTGATTGTGGCCTGTGGAATGTTGGCCCACTCTTCAATGGCTGTGCGAAGTTGCTGGATATTGGCGGGAAATGGAACATGCCGTCGTACGTGTCGATCCAGAGCATCCCAAACATGCTCAATGCGTGACATGTCTGGTGAGCATGCAGGCCATCGAAGAACTGGGACATTTTCAGCTTCCAGGAATTGTGTACAGATCCTTGCAATATGGGACCATGCATTATCATGCTGAAACATGAGGTGATGGCGGCGGATGAATGGCACGCCAATGGGCCTTAGGATCTCATCATGGTATCTCTGTGAATTCAAAATTGACATCGATAAAATGCAATTGTGTTCATTGTCCGTAGCTGATACCTGCCCATACCATAACCCCACCACCACATGGGGCACCATGTTCACAACATTGACGTCAGCAAACCGCTCACCCACACAATGCCATACACGTGGTCTGCATTTGTGAGGCCGGTTGGACGTACTGCCAAATTCTCTAAAACGACATTGGAGGCAGCTTATGGTAGAGAAATTAACATTCAATTCTCTGGCAACAGCTCTGTTGGACATTCCTGCAGTCTGGAAGCAACATCAGTACAATAACTGTTTGTCGGGAGCTTCATGAAATGGAATTCCGTGGCTGAGCAGCCGCACGCAAGCCTATGATCACCATGCGCAATGCCAAGCGCGGCTGTAAAGCTTGCCGCCATTGAACTCTGGAGCAGTGGAAAGGCGTTCTCTGGAGGGATGAATCACGCTTCACCATCTGGCAGTCCGACTGACGAATCTGGGTTTAGCGGATTCCAGGAGTACGCTATCTGCCCGAATGCAGAGTGCCAACAGTAAAGTTTGGTGGAGGAGGAATAATGGTCTGGGGCTGTTTTTCATGGTTCGGGCTCGGCCCCATAGTTCCAGTGAAGTGAAATCTTAACGCTACAGCATACAATTACATTCTAGATTATTCTGTGCTTCCAACTTTGTGGCAACAGTTTGGGGAAGGCCCTTTCCTGTTTCAGCATGACAATGCCCCCATGCACAAAGCGAGGTCCATACAGGAATGGTTTGTCAAGATCGGTGTGGAAGAACTTGACTGGCCTGCACAGATCCCTGACTTTAATCCCCATCAAACACCTTTGGGATTAATTGGAACATCGACTGAGAGCGAGGCCTAATCGCCCAACATCAGTCCCCGACGTCACTAATGCTCTTGTGGCTGAAGCAAGTCCCCGCAGCAATGTTCCAACATCTAGTGAAAAGCCTTCCCAGAAGAGTGGAAGCTGTTATATCAGCAAAGGGGGGACCAACTCCATATTAATGCCCATGATTTTGGAAAGAGATGTTCGATGAGCAGGTGTCCACATACTTTTGGCCATGTAGCATATCTGTCTTCACAGTAATGTGAAATCCATAAATTAGGGCCTAATACATTTCTTTCAATTGGCTGATTTCCTTATATGAACTGTAACTCAGTAACATCTTTGAAATTGTTGCATGTTGCATTTATATTTTTGTTCAGTGTAGGAGGAAAAAATAGCTTTGGCCATATTACTAAGAAGTGTCCAGCACATTGTTGATGTGGGCCGTAAACTCACTGAGGAAAATCAATTTTGCTACCTCCACCATGGTCAGCGATTTACAACACAACAACTCTTTGTAATCTGAGGCACATGGTTAAAAGCGTTAGACATTATTTCAAGCTTTTACATGTATCTGGGAAACTTAAAAAGCATGAACAATTTGCTGGTACCGGCTGACAAAGCATCTACTGTAGGTTGTCCATTTAAAGACTGTCCACATTTCTAAATGTCTTAGTCCTGAAGTAGCCTACACCATTTTCCTCTTCTGTGAGCGGACAAGCGCAAATGTATCGGTAAATATGATGTGTTGTATGTGTAATATTTGGGTTAATGAGCAGAATTACATTACAGAACATTTAACATCATTTTGTGAACTTCTGGTTTATGATTTCAGAAATATTATTGCGTTGGCCGTGATGTCACTTCCACTGATTCTGAGCCCCCAGATTCTGGGGCTCGCGACTGACGGTTTGATCCATCTGGGTAGGTTTACTTTTACGTATAAATAACATTATTTCAATACAACACATTTTTAACCCAATTTATTGTAAACTCATATGTTTTTCACTTTTTGATTCAGAAAATATTGCAGGGAAGCTCAGCTTCATCCAGAGGGAAGGAAATGCAACTTACGTGCGGGACAAGGAGCTGGCCTCGGAGGTTCCAACCGAGACCAAGTTCGAACTGTTCGATCCAAGGAACACTTTACGCACCGCCAGATTCACCTATACCTGGGACTTCGGCAACGGGTAGGCCTGTGTGGACTTCGCCTGTTTATCATCGAATATATGTTTTGTAGTTATCCTTTTTATAGTTAAGGCTATACATTTAAATATTATGTGGTTGTTTTATTTTTTCTTTATGTATTTATTCGATGTTGTGTGGTGCTGTTTTTTACTGTAGGGATTACTGTTGTTTTCTATTGTCTTGTCAGTGTTGGATGTATTCCATCAGGGACCACGTTAGAAGCAAGTGGAATTGCTTTAACGTGTTATATCTGGGTTGTCCTCAGTGAATATTTATGCCCAATAAATAATCAATCAATATTCTGGTTTTGTAAGAGAGGTGCTAAAGGGATCGGAGCCGTCTGTGTACTATAACTACTCCTCCTCTGGAAACTACACTCTGCGGCTGAGAGTCGGGGCCCAAATGAACAAAACCTCTACACTAACTGGGGAATATACCATGGATTTTACAGTTTTGGGTAGGTAGACGGAATACCACATTTTTGTTGATAATTATTTGGTTTGAAATGGTGTGTTTTGGCAATGTTGAGAGGACATCTCTCATTAATTTAGTGAAATCCGTTTTTAAATATCACATTAGGTCTACCATACAGCAAGTGTCGCCAACAATTGAGGTGTATTGCATATCTCTGCTTTTTTCCAGACGCCATCAGAAATATTGAGTTGAAGAGCCCTTTGATATTCCAGGTTTCCAGAAACAACAGTCTGGCTGTTCATGTGGATGGAAGGTGGGTACAATTTCTCAGTAGGCCCACACAATTAACACATACAACATCCTAAACATGTATAACACATAAAAGAATCAGCTCATTTATTCTCTCTCACTCTCTCTCTCCTCTCTCTCGCTCACTCTCCTCTCTTGCTCTCCCCTCTCTCTCTCTCTATCCCCCCCCCCCCCCTCTCTCTCTCTCTCTCTCTCTCTCTCTCTCTCTCTCTAGTCCTCCCATGTGGGTCTGCTGGAGGTTCCTACAGAACTGTGTATCAGCAACCCCTACAGGCTGTCACCTGACCATGCTGTATGAGAACACCATGATACTGAACCACACCTTCACATCTTTAGGAGTCCACTGTCTGGACATCAGCGCCCGCAACGACATCAGCAAACTGCAGACCTCCTACAGCATCTTTGTGAGGAGAGATCGTAAGTCAGGTGTTATCATGAGGTCTGTGGAGATTTGGTCCACTTTAGTCACGCTAGGCAGAAGCTACAGTACAGTACAGCACACACTTTGTCCTCTCACTATCAATACAGTATAGACTGTTTGATATAGTACAAATGATCCATCTATTAGTACAGTGTCGCTCAGCGGTTCTGGTAACACAAGGGGTTTGATGATAATTTACCTCTTTAGATTTCATAGTTCTTCCTGTAATCTCAAACTGAACCGAGTGATAGTGTGTTCAGATAAATGAAAAGACATCAGTGGGACAGTGGCCAGGGTTGAGGAATGTAGCTAAGGAGTTCTGGAGGAGGGCAATTTAACGGTAGGACCCACACCCCATACTGTATATGTCTCCTGTGGTGAATTGATTTGTGGTGGATGGTACGGTTACAGAGGAGTTTCAGGAAGCTTGTGAACTCATTGTAATGCATAACAAATAGATTGTTTAAAACCAGAAGACTAAAAGAATGATGAATGATGGTTTGTGTAAATAGGAACATGATTCAATGGTGCACAAAGTTAAGAAGAGGAGACATGCTAATAATCATGTATGCAGACACTGGGGAGTATGACAATTACTAATTGGGAGATAATTGTAAAAAGAAAATCAATTCTGCTTGCAGAACTTCTGACCAATATTGAAGCTTGTCTAACTGCATCATGGAATACTGTAGATAAACAGTTCTCTCTTTGTCTTCTGATAGCCTCCAATATCCTGCTCTTCATCATGTGTACTTGGATCATCTTGGCAATCCTCGCCTTCATCACTGTTATAGCTTGTCGCCATAAGAAAGGACATAACAACAAACCACAGGTAGGAAGGAGACTAATAGAGGGACTTGTTGAAGAATGTTAGGCGCTGTTTCAATACTCCTCCTAAAGAAATGAGGCTATTCTACAATGTGTCCACAAGGGGGTGATCTATACCTAGCAAATTGACTAAGGATCAACTCCAAAAATTGGCTGTAACCGTAGAAAGCACTGTCAAGCTGTGTTGTAGTACTAGAGTACAGGACTCAGACTTGACTCAGACTCGACTCACGATTCTCATTACTCATGACTCGACTTGGACTCGACCAGTAGTGACTTTGTTTTCAGAAAATCTCTTCCTTTTGCATAATTTAACATACTAGCGAGCAGCAAATGTTTGTTAGATAGCTGTATTATCTAATCAGCCTTACAAAAGTGCAAACATTGTAATGAAAGTTTTCTTAAAAAATGGTTGGACCGCAGCTTTTAGCACTACCAAGGGACTCGTGACTTGAGTATAAAGGACTCGGACTTGGATCTGGACTCAAGGTTTACTGGAATCTACATCACTGCTGTCAATTGATGGGGATTTGCACAGACGGAGATATCGTGGACGTAGGTCGAGGTGCCTTTTAAGGATCCGACGGCGAGCGAGTAAACTGCCTCTTCCATCAATCCTATTAGCCAATATTCAATCATTTGAGAATAATTTAGATGACCTAAGATTACGGTTATCCTACCAACGGGACATTAAAAACTGTAATATCTTATGTTTCACCGAGTTGTGGCTGAACGAAGACATGGACAACATACAGCTAGCGGGCTATACGCTACATCGGCAGGATAGAACGGCTGACTCCATTAAGACAAGGGGTGGCGGTCTGTGTATATTTGTAAACAACAGCTGGTGCACAAAATCAAATATAAAGGAAGTCTCGAGGTTTTGCTCGCCTGAGGTAGAGTATCTTATGATAAGCTGTAGACCACACTATTTACCAAGAGAGTTTTCATCTATATTTTTCATAGCTGTCTATTTACCACCACAAACCAATGCTGGCATTAAGATGAACTTAGATGCACTGAATGAGCTGTATAAGGCCATAAGTGAACAGGAAAATGCTCATCCAGAGGCAGTGCTCCTAGTGGCCGAGGACTTTAATGCAGGGAAACTTAAATCCGTTCTACCTCATTTCTACCAGCATGTTAAATGTGCAACCAGAAGAAAAAAAACTCTAGACCACCTTTACTCCACACACAGAGACGCATACAAAGCTCTCCCTCGCCCTCCATTTGGCATATCTGACCATAACTCTATCCTCCTGATTCCTGCTTATAAGCAACAACTAAAGCAGGAAGCACCAGTGACTCGGTTAATAAAAAAGTGGTCAGATGACGCAGATGCTAAGCTACAGGACTGTTTTGCTAGCACAGACTGGAACATGTTCCGGGATTCTTCAGATAGCATTGAGGAGTACACCACATCAGTCACTGGCTTCATCAATAAGTGCATCGATGACGTCGTCCCCACAGTGACTGTACGTACATATCCCAACCAGAAGCCATGGATTACAGGCAACATCCGCACTGAGCTAAAGGGTAGAGCTGCCGCTTTCAAGGAGCGGGACTCTAACCCGGACGCTTATAAGAAATCCTGCAATGCCCTCCGACGAACCATCAAACAGGCAAAGAGTCAATACAGGACTAAGATTGAATCGTACTACACCGGCTCTGACGCTCGTCGGATGTGGCAGGGCTTGAAAACTATTACAGACTACAAAGGGAAGCACAGCCGCGAGCTGCCCAGTGACACAAGACTTTCAGACGAGCTAAACCACTTATATGCTCGCCTCGAGGCAAGCAACACTGAAGCATGCATGAGAGCACCAGCTGTTCCGGATGACTATGTGATCACGCTCTCTGTAGCCAATGTGAGTAAGACTTTTAAGCAGGTCAACATTCAAAAGGCCGCAGGGCTAGACGGATTCCAAGCTTCCTGCCATCCAGGACCTCTATACCAGGCGGTGTCAGAGGAAGGCCCTCAAAATTGTCAAAGACTCCAGCCACCCTAGTCATAGACTGTTCTCTCTACTACCGCACGGCAAGTGGTACCGGAGTGCCAAGTCTAGGTCCAAAAGACTTCTCAACAGCTTCTACTCCCAAGCCATAAGACTCCTGAACAGCTAATCATGGCTACCCGGACTATTTGCACTGCCCCCCCACCCCATCTTTTTACGCTGCTGCTACTCTGTTAATTATTTATGCAGTCACTTTAACTCTACCCACATGTACATATTACCTCAACTACCTCAACTAGCCGGTGCCCCCGCACATTGACTCTGCACCGGTACCGCCCCCCCCTGTATATATAGCCTCCCTACTGTTATTTTATTTTACTTCTGCTCTTTTTTTCTCAACATTTTTTTGTTGTTGTTTTATTATACTTTTTTATAAATAAATAAATACATTGTTGGTTAAGGGTTGATTGTAAGCATTTCACTGTAATGTCTACACCTGTTGTATTCGGCGCATGTGGCCAATAAAATGTGATTTGATTTGATTTGACAATTTAGCCCAAAAACACAAAAAAAACCACTCAAGTGTGTCAGTGTAAATGTTTATATTTGTTTGTATATTTATTCTTTTACAGATATCTAAGTCCAGTAACGCCACTTACTCCAGCATGGACATGGAACTACAGCCGCAACAGGACATCCCTGGTATCACTAGTGATATCTATGTGTCCAGGCCAAAGAAAGGAGAGGTCCAACCCCTTCTGCAGCACGGGACCAGATCTGTTGCCTACTCCTGCCGCATCTAGTCTTCATTTACACACTTTTGATTTGGGCTTTGTGTTGGACTGATTCAAGTCAAATGTTAATAGTTTGCTAAAAATGTATTTTTTGAGATGAATATATGTCACCAGTAACATTGAACTATTAATTGTCAGTGATGTAATAGTGATGTAGCTTACATTCCTCTGTCTGTGTGGATTCTATACTTACACTATTTTGCCTTTGATGATCCCATCCTCAGACCCAGCCAAAAGCCTGACCTCGAAAACTAAATATCCATCCAAGGGTTTTTAGAGCGCGGAGGTCCCACCGCACAAAAATATTAATAATATATACACTTGAAGTTGGAAGTTTACATACACTTAGGTTGGAGTCATTAAAACTTGTTTTTCAACCACTCCACAAATGTTTTGTTAACAAACTTTAGTTTTGGCAAGTCGGTTAGGACATCTACTTTGTGCATGACACAAGTAATTCTTCCAACAATTGTTTACAGACAGATTATTTCACTTATAATTCACTGTATCACAATTCCAGTGGGTCTGAAGTTTACATACACTAAGTTGACTGTGCCTTTAAACAGCTTGGAAAATTCCAGAAAATGATGTCATGGCTTTAGAAGCTTCTGATAGGCTAATTGACATCATTTGAGTCAATGGGATGTATTTCAAGGCCTACCTTCAAACTCAGTGCCTCTTTGCTTGACATCATGGGAAAATCAAAAGAAATCAGCCAAGACCTCAGAAAAAAATGTGTAGACCTCCACAAGTCTGGTTCATCCTTGGGAGCAATTTCCAAATGCCTGAAGGTACCACGTTCATCTGTACAAACAAAAGTATGCAAGTATAAACACCATGGGACCACGCAGCCATCATACCGCTCAGGAAGGAGACGCGTTCTATCTCCTAGAGATTAACGTAGTTTGGTACGAAAAGTGCAAATCAATCCCAGAACAACAGCAAAGGACATTGTGAAGATGCTGGAGGAAACAGGTACAAAAGTATCTATATCCACAGTAAAATGAGTCCTATATTGACATAATCTGAAATGCCGCTCAGCAAGGAAGAAGCCACTGCTCCAAAACCGCCATAAAAAAGCCAGACTACGGTTTGCAACTGCACATGGGGACTAAGTCTGTACTTTTTAGAGAAATGTCCTCTGGTCTGATGAAACAAAAATAGAACTGTTTGGCCATAATGACCATCGTTATGTTTGGAGAAAAAAGGGGAAGGCTTGCAAGCCGAAGAACACCATCCCAAACGTGAAGCACGGGGGTGGCAGCATCATGCTGTGGGGGTGCTTTGCTGCAGGAGGGACTGGTGCACTTCACAAAATACATGGCATCATGAGGAAGGAAAATGATGTGTATATATTGAAGCAACATCTCAAGACTTCATTCAGGAAGTTAAAGCTTGGTCGCAAATGGGTCTTCCAAAAGGACAATGACCCCAAGCATACTTCCAAAGTTGTGGCAAAATGGCTTAAGGACAACAAGGTCAAGGTATTGGAGTGGCCATCACAAAGCCCTGACCTCAATTCTATGGAAAATATGTGGGCAGAACTGAAAAAGCGTGTGCGAGCAAGGAGGTCTACAAACCTGCCTAAGTTACAACAGCTCTGTCAGGAGGAATGGGCCAAAATTCACCGAACTTATTGTGGGAAGCTTGTGGAAGGCTAGCCAAAACGTTTGACCCAAGTTAAACAATTTAAAGACAATGCTACCAAATACTAATTGAGTGTATGTAAACTTCTGACCCACTGGGAATGTGATAAAATAAATAAAAGCTGAAATAAATAATTGTCTCTACTATTATTCTGACATTTCACATTCTTAAAATAAAGTGGTGGTCCTAACTGACCTAAGACAGGGAATTTTTACTCGAATTAAATGTCAGGAATTGTGAAAAACTGAGTTTAAATGTATTTGCCTAAGGTGTATGTAAATTTCCGACTTCAACTGTATATATGTATGTATGATATATATACAGTGCCTTGCAAAAGTATTCATCCCCCTTGGCATTTTTCCTATTTTGTTGCATTACAACCTGTAATTTAAATGGATTTTTATTTGGATTTCATGTAATGAACATACACAAAATAGTCCAAATTGGTGAAGTGAAATTAAAAACATAACATATTTCAAGAATTTCAAAAAAATAAATAACGGAAAAGTGGTGTGTGTATATGTATTCACCCCTTTTGCTATGAAGCCCCTAAATAAGATCTGGTGCAACCAATTACCTTCAGAAGTCACATAATTAGTTAAATAAAGTCCACCTGTGTGCAATCTAAGTGTCACATGATCTGTCACATGATCTCAGTATATATACACCTGTTCTGAAAGGCCACAGAGTCTGCAACACCACTAAGCTAGGGGCACCACCAAGCAAGCAGCACCATGAAGACCAAGGAGCTCTCCAAACAGGTCAGGGACAAAGTTGTGGAGAAGTACAGATCAGGGTTGGGTTATAAAAAAATATCAGAAACTTTGAACATCCCACGGAGCACCATTAAATCCATTATTAGAAAATGGAAAGAATATGGCACCACAACAAACCTGCCAAGAGAGGGCCGCCCACCAAAACTCACAGACCAGGCAAGGAGGGCATTAATCAGAGAGGCAACAAAGAGACCAAAGATAACCCTGAAGGAGCTGCAAAGCTCCACAGCGGAGATTGGAGTATCTGTCCATAGGACCACTTTAAGCCGTACACTCCACAGAGCTGGGCTTTACGGAAGAGTGGCCAGAAAAAAGCCATTGCTTAAAGAAAAGAATAAGCAAACACATTTGGTGTTCGCCAAAAGCCATGTGGGAGACTCCCCAAACATATGGAAGAAGGTACTCTGGTCAGATGAGAATAAAATTTAGCTTTTTGGCCATCAAGGAAAATGCTATGTCTGGCGCAAACCCAACACCTCTCATCACTCCGAGAACACCATCCCCACAGTGAAGCATGGTGGTGGCAGCATCATGCTGTGGGATGTTTTTCATCGGCAGGGACTGGGAAACTGGTCAGAATTGAAGGAATGATGGATGCCGCTAAATACAGGGAAATTCTTGAGGGAAACCTGTTTCAGTCTTCCAGAGATTTGAGACTGGGACGGAGGTTCACCTTCCAGCAGGACAATGACCCTAAGCATACTGCTAAAGCAACACTTGAGTGGTTTAAGAGGAAACATTTAAATGTCTTGGAATGGCCTAGTCAAAGCCCAGACCTCAATCCAATTAAGAATCTGTGGTATGACTTAAAGATTGCTGTACACCAGCGGAAACCCATCCAACTTGAAGGAGCTGGAGCAGTTTTGCATCTTCAAAGTGGTAGGCATGTTGTGTTAATCAAATGATACAAACCCCCCCAAAATCCATTTTAATTCCAGGCAACAAAATAGGAAAAATGTCAAGGGGGGTGAATACTTTCGCAAGCCACTGTATATATGTAGCTTTAAACTTACTCTTGACAGTTGTAATAGTAGAATGCACAAAGTGTTTCTGAATTGGGTAGTGCATCATCAGTTCCTCTTGTCATGTTAATCTTTGCATACCTTAGAGAGCTATTTATAACTTGTCAGAAATGTCCAGATCAAATAGCCCATGTCAGCTAATCAAATCAAATCAAATCAAATCTAATTTTATTGGTCACATGCGCCGAATACAACAGGTGCAGACATTACAGTGAAATGCTTACTTACAGCCCTTAACCAACAGTGCATTTATTTTAAACAAAAAAGTAAGAATAAAACAACAACAAAAAAAAGTGTTGAGAAAAAAAAGAGCAGAAGCAAAATAAAGTGACAGTAGGGAGGCTATATATACAGGGGGGTACCGTTGCAGAGTCAATGTGCGGGGGCACCGGCTAGTTGAGGTAGTTGAGGTAATATGTACATGTGGGTAGAGTTAAAGTGACTATGCATAAATACTTAACAGAGTAGCAGCAGCGTAAAAAGGATGGGGTGGGGGGGGCAGTGCAAATAGTCCGGGTAGCCATGATTAGCTGTTCAGGAGTCTTATGGCTTGGGGGTAGAAGCTGTTGAGAAGTCTTTTGGACCTAGACTTGGCACTCCGGTACCGCTTGCCGTGCGGTAGCAGAGAGAACAGTCTATGACTAGGGTGGCTGGAGTCTTTGACAATTTTGAGGGCCTTCCTCTGACACCGCCTGGTATAGAGGTCCTGGATGGCAGGAAGCTTTGCCCCAGTGATGTACTGGGCCGTACGCACTACCCTCTGTAGTGCCTTGCGGTCGGAGGCCAAGCAGTTGCCATACCAGGCGGTGATGCAACCAGTCAGGATGCTCTCGATGGTGCAGCTGTAGAATTTTTTGAGGATCTGAGGACCCATGCCAAATCTTTTTAGTCTCCTGAGGGGGAATAGGCTTTGTCGTGCCCTCTTCACGACTGTCTTGGTGTGGTTGGACCATGATAGTTCGTTGGTGATGTGGACACCAAGGAACTTGAAGCTCTCAACCTGTTCCACTACAGCCCCGTCGATGAGAATGGGGGCGTGCTCAGTCCTATTGTTTTTCCTGTAGTCCACAATCATCTCCTTTGTCTTGGTCACGTTGAGGGAGAGGTTGTTGTCCTGGCACCACACGGCCAGATCTCTGACCTCCTCCCTATAGGCTGTCTCATCGTTGTCGGTGATCAGGCCTACCACTGTTGTGTCGTCGGCAAACTTAATGATGGTGTTGGAGTCGTGCCTGGCCATGCAGTCATGGGTGAACAGAGAGTACAGGAGGGGACTGAGCACGCACCCCTGAGGGGCCCCCGTGTTGAGGATCAGTGTGGCAGATGTGTTGTTACCTACCCTTACCACCTGGGGGTAAGCCCAGGTGTAATTTTTTTGTCACTCAAATATCACATTCATACACATTAGACATGGCAAAATGTATAGAATTGCAAGAAATCTTGCTTTAAAATTGCAAAATTTTCTTTGCACCCCATGACAAAATGTGTAGAATTGCAGGAAAAAAGCTTTAAACTTGCTAGATTCTCTCCACCAACAAGAGGGGTGTGAACAGTTTGTGTCATGAACAGTGCTTGTTCCTCAATGCTGGAAGGGGGGCCCGAGTGAAAAAGTTTGGGAACTCCTGTTTTAGAGGATTGGATCCAATTATGATGATAGATGAGACCTGCCAGTAACACTGTAGGGAACGGTCCTGATGGGTATTACCTAGAGATACTGCCTGTCAACATCTTTAGAAAATGTTCATTTCATTTACTAAATGTTTTTATGGAATGCCAAGAAAGTCAATGCTGAAAGTAAAAATAAATAAAGTGTCGTTGTCAGTAAGAAGTCTTGTTATATTTACAATGTTATACACTGGTTATTGTCCTCCAAATCCATGTATATGTTGGGTAATCCACATCTGTCACCGTTATTTCTATATATTTATCTTGCTGCTCACGACAGTAGCCTACTTGCTGCTCACGACTGTAGCCTACTTGCTGCTCACAACAGTAGCCTACTTGCTGCTCACGACAGTAGCCTACTTGCTGCTCACGACTGTAGCCTACTTGCTGCTCACGACTGTAGCCTACTTGCTGCTCACGACAGTAGCCTACTTGCTGCTCACGACAGTAGCCTACTTGCTGCTCACGACAGTAGCCTACTTGCTGCTCACGGCAGGAACCTACTTGCTGCTCACAACTGTAGCCTACTTGCTGCTCACGACAGTAGCCTACTTGCTGCTCACGACAGTAGCCTACTTGCTGCTCACGACATGATCCTACTTGCTGCTCATGACTGTAGCCTACTTGCTGCTCACGACTGTAGCCTACTTGCTGCTCACGACTGTAGCCTACTTGCTGCTCACGACTGTAGCCTACTTGCTGCTCACGACAGTAGCCTACTTGCTGCTCACAACTGTAGGCTACTTGCTGCTCACGACAGTAGCCTACTTGCTGCTCACGACAGTAGCCTACTTGCTGCTCACGACATGATCCTACTTGCTGCTCATGACTGGAGCCTACTTGCTGCTCACGACTGTAGCCTACTTGCTGCTCACGACTGTAGCCTAATTGCTGCTCACGACAGTAGCCTACTTGCTGCTCATGACTGGAGCCTACTTGCTGCTCACGACTGTAGCCTACTTGCTGCTCACGACTGTAGCCTAATTGCTGCTCACGACAGTAGCCTACTTGCTGCTCACGACAGTAGCCTACTTGCTGCTCACGACAGTAGCATACTTGCTGCTCACGACTGTAGTCTACTTGCTGCACACGACTGTAGCCTACTTGCTGCTCACGACTGTACCAAAGGTACCAACGTTATTTATTTGAATGGTATCTTACAATAATATAATAATAATATAATGACTTACAGTCATGTGTGCATACATTTGTACGTATGGGTGGTCCCGGGGATCGAACCCACTACCCTGGCGTTACAAGCGCCATGCTCCACCAATTGAGCTACAGATTGTACAGATACAATACAATCTAACTTGAGTTGTAGGCCTACTTCATGTTACGCACCCACAATCATTAAATAATATGAATTGTTCTTTTATATATTTTTCTATTTGATATATACTACCGTTCAAAAGTTTGGGGTCACTTAGAAATGTCCTTGTTTTCGAAAGAAAAGCACATTTTTTGTCCATTAAAATAACATCAAATTGATCAGAAATACAGTGTAGACATTGTTAATGTTGTAAATGGCTATTGTAGCTGGAAACAGCTGATTTTTAATGGAATATCTACATAGGCGTACAGAGGCCCATTGTCAGCAACCATCAGTCCTGTGTTCCAATGGCACGTTGTGTTTGCTAATCCAAGTTTATCATTTTAAAAGGCTAATTGATCATTAAAAACCCTTTTGCAATTACGTTAGCACAGCTGAAAACTGTTGTGCTGGTTAAAGAAGCAATAAAACGGGCCTTCCTGAGACTAGTTGAGTATCTGGAGCATCAGCAATTGTGGGTTCGATTACAGGCTCAAAATGGCCAGAAACAAATAACTTTAGTTTGAAACTCATCAGTCTATTCTTGTTCTGAGAAATTAAGGCTATTCCATGCGAGAAATTGCCAAGAAACTGAAGATCTCGTACAAAGTTGTGTACTACTCCCTTCACAGAACAGTGCAAACTGGATCTAACCAGAATAGAAAGAGGAGTGGGAGGCCCGGTGCACAACTGAGCAAGAGGACAAATACATTAGTGTCTAGTTTGAGAAACAGACGCCTCACAGGTCCTTAACTGGCAGCTTCATTAAATAGTACCCGCAAAACACCAGTGTCAACGTCAACAGTGAAGAGGTGACTCCGGGATGCTGACCTTCTAGGCAGAGTTGCAAAGAAAAAGCCATATCTCAGACGGAACAATAAAAAGAAAAGATTAAGATGGGCAAAAGAACACAGACACTGGACTTCTTTGCAACTCTGCCTAGAAGGTCAGCATCCCGGAGTCGCCTCTTCACTGTTGACGTTGAGACTGGTGTTTTGAGACATGTTTTTTTCACTCGGGGCCCCCCTTCCAGCATTGGGGAATTTCTACGGGCACAAGCACTGTTCATGGCGGACACTGTTTACACCCCGCTTGTTGGTGGAGAGAATTTAAAAACAAGTCTAAAAATGATTTCCTGCAATTCTACACATTTTGTCATAGGGGGCAAAGAACATTTTGCCGTTTTGAAGCACATTTTCTTGCAATTCTTTAAATTTTGCCATGTCTAATGTGTATTCATGTGATATTTGACTGACAAAAAAATTACAACAATATCTATATGCTAAAAAACCTAGCTAAAAAACATTAGCTGACATGGGCTAGTTGATCTGGACATTTCTGACAAGTTATAAATAGCTCTTTAAGGTATGCAATGACTAACATGACAAGAGGAACTGATGATGCACTACCCAATTCAGAAATTGCACCTTGTGCATTCTACTATTACAACTTTCAAGGGTAAGTTTAAAGCCGGACTGAGGTCCATTATAAAAAATAAAATATATATTATACACTACCGGTCAAAAGCTTTATAACACCTCCTCATTCATGGGTTTTTCTTTATTTTTACTATTTTCTACATGGTAGAATAATAGTGAAGACATCAACACTATGAAATAAGATATATGGAATCATATTGTAACCAATTTTTTTTTAAACAAATCAAAATATATTTTATATTTGAGATTCTTCAAATAGCCACACATTGCCTTGATGACAGACACACACACACAGTTTGGGAACCACTGCTCTAAAACCCCTTGGATGGATATTTAGTTTTCGAGGTCAGGCTTTTGGCTGGGTCTGAGGATGGGATCATCAAAGGCAAAATAGTGTAAGTATAGAATCCACACAGACAGAGGAATGTAAGCTACATTGGTATTACATCACTGACAATTAATAGTTAAATGTCACTGGTGACATATATTCATCTCAAAAAATACATTTTTAGCAAACTATTAACATTTGACTTGAATCAGTCCAACACAAAGCCCAAATCAAAAGTGTGTAAATGAAGACTAGATGCGGCAGGAGTAGGCGACAGATCTGGTCCCGTGCTGCAGAAGGGGTTGGACCTCTCCTTTCTTTGGCCTGGACACATATATATCACTAGTGATACCAGGGATGTCCTGTTGTGGCTGTAGTTCCATGTCCATGCTGGAGTAAGTGGCGTTACTGGACTTAGATATCTGTAAAAGAATAAATATACAAACAAATATAAACATTTACACTGACACACAAGTGTTTTTTTGGTGTTTATAGGGCTACATTGTCTGAACATTTCTTAGTAATTTCATATTGAACAAGAACAAATGCACTGTGCAAATTCCCATCACTTGACAGCAGTGATGTAGATTCCAGTAAACCTCGAGTCCGTATCCAAGTCCGAGTCCTTTATACTCAAGTCACAAGTCCCATTGTAGTGCCCATTGTAGTGCTTTTTAAGCTACATTTCATTACAATGTTGCACTTTTGTAAGGCTGATTAGATAATACAGCTATCTAACATTTGCTGTTGTAGCTAGTATGATGAATTATACAAAAGAGAGAGATTTTCTACAACCAAGTCCCTACTGGTCGAGTCCAAGTCCGAGTCACTACTGGTCGAGTCCGAGTCGAGTCACGAGTCATGAGAATCGTGACTCGAGTCTGAATCAAATCTGAGTCCTGTACTCGAGTAGTATAACACCGCTTGACCGCTTGACAGTGCTTTCTATGGCTACGGACAATTTTTGGAGTTGATCGTTAGTCAATTTGTTAGGTATATATCACCCCCTTGTGGACACGTTGTAGAATAGCCTCATTTCTTTAGGAGGAGTATTGAAACAGGGCCTAACATTTTTCAACAAGTCTCTCTGTCAGTCTCCTACCTGTGATTTGTTGTTGTGTCCATTCTTAGTGCGACAGGCTATAACAGTGATGAAGGCGAGGATTGCCAAGATGATCCCAGCACACGTCAGGGTGAAGAGCAGGTTAATGGAGGCTATAAAGAGACAAATAGAGAACTGTTTTTCTACATTATTACATGATGCAGTTAGACAAGCTTGAATACTGGTCAGAAGTTCTGCAAGCAGAATTGATTTTCTTTTTACAATTATCTCCCAATTAGTAACTGTCATACTCCCCAGTGTCTGCATACATGATTATTAGCATGTCTCCTCTTGTCTTAACTTTGTGCACCATTGAATCATGTTCCTATTTACACAAACCATCATTCATCATTATTTTAGTCTTCTGGTTTTAAACAATCTATTTGTTATGCATTACAATGAGTTCACAAGCTTCCTGAAACTCCTCTGTAACCGTACCATCCACCACAAATCAATTCACCACAGGAGACATATACAGTATATAATATAATATAATATAATATGCCATTTAGCAGACGCTTTTATCCAAAGCGACTTACAGTCATGCGTGCATACATTTTTTTTTTTTTTGTGTATGGGTGGTCCCGGGGATCGAACCCACTACCTTGGCGTTACAAGCGCCGTGCTCTACCAGCTGAGCTACAGTGGGTCCTACCGTTAAATTGCTCTCCTCCAGAACTCCTTAGCTGCATTCCTCAACCCTGGCCACTGTCCCACTGACGTCTTTTCATTTCTCTGAACACACTATCACTCGGTTCAGTTTGAGATTACAGGAAGAACCATGAAATCTAAAGAGGTAAATTATCATCAAAACCCCTTGTGCTACCAGAACTGCTGAGCGACACTGTACTAATAGATGGGTAATTTGTACTATATCAAACAGTCTATACTGTATTGATAGTGAGAGGACAAAGTGTGTGCTGTACTGTACTGTAGCCTAGCGTGACTAAAGTGGACCAAATCTCCACAGACCACATGATAACACCTGACTTACGATCTCTCCTCACAAAGATGCTGTAGGAGGTCTGCAGTTTGCTGATGTCGTTGCGGGCACTGATGTCCAGACAGTGGACTCCTAAAGATGTGAAGGTGTGGTTCAGTATCATGGTGTTCTCATACAGCATGGTCAGGTGACAGCCTGTAGGGGTTGCTGATACACAGTTCTGTAGGAACCTCCAGCAGACCCACATGGGAGGACTAGAGAGAGAGACAGAGAGAGAGAAAGGAGAGGGATAGTGAGAGAGAGACAGAGAGAGAGAGAGAGAGAGAGAGAGAGAGATATAGATAGACAGACAGACAGACAGACAGACAGACAGACAGACAGACAGACAGACAGACAGACAGACAGACAGACAGACAGACAGACAGACAGACAGACAGACAGACAGACAGACAGACAGACAGACAGATATATAGATAGAGAGAGATAGAGAAAGAGAGAGAGAGAGGAGAGATAGAGAGAGATAGAGGGGTGGGGGAGAGAGAGACACACAGAGAGAGAGAGAGAGAGAGAGAGAGAGATTGGGTGGTGGGATAGAGACACAGAGGATGAGTATAAGATGAGAGAGAGAGAGAGATATATGATAAATCTAGAGAGATAAAGAATAGACAACAGACAGATAGAGAGAAAGAAGAGATAGATAGATAGATAGGAGATATAGAGAGATAGCTCTAGCTCATATCTAGATCTGAGATGAACGCTCAGACCCCTCTCTCATAGATATCGACTAGCTCGAAGATAGATGTCTCCTCTCTCCTCGAAGACGATCTTTGTCTGTTTTATGAGTTCTATCTGCTTCTCCTCTTTTGACGCTCGACCTCAGCGGCTTTCTCTTCTTCGTTTGCTTTAGGCGTCTCTTCGTCGCGTTTTTTCTCGGTCTGGTTCCTTTCTCTTTTTTTGTTTCTTTTTTATTTGTTCTCCTCCTTTCTTCTTTTTTGGGCTCTTTCCCTCTTTTCTTTTTTTCTCTTTTTTTTTTGGTTTTTTTTTCCCCTTTTTTCTTTGTTCTTGTTTTTTTTCTGTTTTGTTTTGGGTTTTTTTGGTTTTTTTTTTCTCGTTCTTCTCTCCTCTCTTCTTGCTGCTCTCTCTCTCTCACTCTCGCTCTCTCGCTCCCTCTCTCCTCTTTCATCCCCTCCCGCGCGCCGCGACGCCCTCCGACTCCTCTTCTTCTCCTCTCGGGCCCCTCTTCCCTCTCTCTCTCTCCCTGCTCTCGCCCTGCTTTCCTAGGCGCTGCTAGGATCCCGCCAATCTGCACACGTCTAGCGCTCCCTACCTCGCTCCCGAGTCCGCGCTCTCTCTCCCGCTGCGCTCGAGCGCTCCCCCTCCCTGCACCCCTGTTTCTCTTTCGTCCATTAGCCCTTGAGGGATAAATTTTTCTTTTCTTTCTCTAACTCTCTATCGCTCTCTTCTTGCTCCTTCTCTTTCGTTTTTTAGGCTAGCCTTCTTTTCTAGTGTTTTTCTTCTCTCTTTCGGGTTTTCTGGGTTTGCTTCTCCCCTCGCCCTCGACTTCCCCTTTCCCTCTCTCCTCTCTGCCATCTCTCCCGCTCTCCTCTCCTTCTCTTCTCTTCTCCTCTCTCTCGCTCTATCCTTTTCGCTTCCCCATCTCGCTCCTTCCTTCTCTACTTTTCCCCCTCCTCTCTCCTCTCCTCTCGCGCTGCTCTCTCCCCCGCGCTCGCCCGCTCTTCCCTCTCCTCCCCTGCGCTCGCCTCTACTCGGGTCCCCGCCGCTCTCCTCGCCCCTTTTTCGCGCTTCGGGGTTTTTTTGTTTGGGGTTTGGCGCTCCCGCCCGGTCTTCGTGGGACCTCCCTCGGCGCCGCTCGCCCCGCTCGTTTGTCCCCTCGCTCGTCTCGTCGGCCCCTCGCCGCTCACTCGCTCCGCTCGCTCGCCGCCCCGCCGCTCGCTCGGCTCGCTCTCGCTCCCCTCCTCGCTGCCTCGCGGGGGGGGGGCGCGCGCGGGGGGCGGGGCGCGCGCTCGCCGGGGGGCGCGGCGCGCGCGCGGCGCGCCGCGCGCGCGCGCGCGCGCCGGGGCGCGCCGCGAGCGCGCCGAGGGGCCCCGCTCGCGCGCGCCGGCGCGGGTAGCGAGGGGCGACGGAGGCGAGAGAGAGAGAGAGAGAGAGAGAGAGAGGAGGGACGCCTCGATGCTGCTCGCGTCTGTAGTTTCTGTTTTTTGGCGGGGCCCCGGGCGGGGGCGGAGGCGCTCGGCGCGCGCTCGCGCGCGCGCCCTCGCGCCGCGCCCCGCGGGCGGCGCGCCGGGCGCGCGCGCGCGCGGGTCCGTCGCGCCGCCGCGCGCCCGCGAGCCCTCGCGCGCCGCGCGCGCTTCGCCCCTCGCGTCGCCCGCGCGCAGGCGGCGGCGCGCGCGGGCGAGCGCCTCACGGCGGATCATTTATGGTTATACATTTTGGATGTTGTATGTGTTCATTGTGTGGGCCTACTGAGAAATTGTACCCACCTTCCATCCACATGAACAGCCAGACTGTTGTTTCTGGAAACCTGGAATATCAAAGGGCTCTTCAACTCAATATTTCTGATGGCGTCTGGAAAATAGCAGAGTTATGCAATACACCTCAATTGTTGCCGACACTTGCTGTATGGTAGACCTAATGTGATATTTAAAAACTGCTTTTTACTAAATTAATGAGAGATGTCCTTTCAACATTGCCAAAACACACCATTTCAAACCAAATAATTATCAACAAAAATGTTGTATTCTGTCTACCTACCCAAAACTGTAATGTCCATGGTGTATTCCCCAGTTAGTGGAGTAGAGGTTCTGTTCATTTGGGCCACCACTCTCAGCCGCAGAGTGTAGTTTCCAGAGGAGGAGTAGTTATAGTACACAGACGGCTCCGATCCCTTTAGCACCTCTCTTACAAAACCAGAATATTGATTGATGATTTATTGGGCAAAAATATGCACTGGGGACAACCCAGGGATAACACGTTAAAGCAATTCCACTTGTTTCTAACGTGGTCCCTGATGGAATACATACAACACTGACAAGACAATAGAAAACAACAGTAATCCCTACAGTAAAAAAACAGCATCACACAACATCGAATAAATAAATAACAAATAAAACAACCACATAATATTGAAATATATAGCCTTAACTATAAAAAGGAAAACTACAAAACATATATTCGATGATAAACAGGCGAAGTCCACACAGGCCTACCCGTTGCCGAAGTCCCAGGTATAGGTCAATCTGGCGGTGCGTAAAGTGTTCCTTGGATCGAACAGTTCGAACTTGGTTTCGGTTGGAACCTCCGAGGCCAGCTCCTTGTCCCGCACGTAAGTCACATTTCCTTCTCTCTGAATGAAGCTGAGCTTCCCTGCAATATTTTCTGAATAAAAAAGTGAAAAACATATGAGTTTACAATAAATTGGGTTAAAAATGTGTTGTATTGAAATAATTTTATTTATACGTAAAAGTAAACCTACCCAGATGGATCAAACCGTCAGTCGCGAGCCCCAAAATCTGGGGGCTCAGAATCAGTGGAAGTGACATCACGACCAACGCAATAATATTTCTGAAATCATAAACCAGAAGTTCACGAAATTATGTTAAATTTACTGTAATGTAATTCTGCTCATTAACCCAAATATTACACATACAACACATCATATTTACCGATACATTTGCGCTTGTCCACTCACAGAAGAGGAAAATAGTGTAGGCTACTTCAGGGCTAAGACATTTAGAAATGTGGACAGTATTCAAACGGACAACCTATAGTACAGGGATCATCAACTAGATTCAGCCGCTGGCTAATTTATTCGTGACCGGATGGTCGGGGGGCCGGAACATAATTACAAATAATTTGTAGACTGCAAATTGACCGCAAGAAGCCCACACAGATATAACGTTTGACTAAAATATCATCATGTCAAACCTTGCTTACGTTTGTCTATTATCACGTTTACCTTTATTATGCGTGGGAAACTTGGGGCCAGATTTTCTTAAATACCATTTTTATTTCCTGGTGTTTTTACAGTCTTTTATGTCCAATATCGAAATGAAAAAATAGTTTATTTTTTTATATTTTTTTGCTCTGAAAACTTTGAGGGCCAAATACAACAACCCAGTTGGGGAATCCTGCAATAGTAGATGCTTTGTCAGCCGGTGCCAGCAAATTGTTCATGCCATTTAAGTTTCCCAGATGCATGTAAAAGCTTGAAATTATGTCCATGCGTTTTAACCATGTGCCTCGGATTACAACGAGCTGTTGTGTTGTACATTTCAAGTCGCTGTCCATGGTGGAGGTAGCACAATTGAGTTTTCCTCATTGAGTTTATGGCTCACATCAACAATGTGCTGGACACTTCCTAGGAATGGCCAACGCTATTTTTTCCTCCAACACTGAACAAAAATATAAACGCAACATGCATCAATTTAAAATATTTTACTGAGTCACTGTTCATACATGGACATCAGTCAATTGAAATAAATGTATTAAGCCCTAATGTATGGATTTCACATGACTGAACACAGATTGTTGGTCACAGATACATTTCATGGCCAAAAGTTTGTGGACATCTGCTCTTCTTACATTCTATTCATTATTCCAAAATCATGATCATTAATATGGAGTTGGTCCCCCTTTGCTGCTATAACAGCCTCCACTCTTCAGGGAAGGCTTTCCACTAGATGTTGGAACATTGCTGCGGGGACTTGCTTCCATTCAGCCACAAGAGCATTAGTGAGGTCGGGCACTGATGTTGGCCGATTAGGCCTGACTCGCAGTCGGCGTTCCAATTCATCCCAAAGGTGTTCGATGGGGTTGAGGTTAGGGCTCTGTGCAGGCCAGTCAAGTTCTTCCACACCAATCTCGACAAACCATTTCTGTATGGACCTCGCTTTGTGCATGGGGCCATTGTCATGCTGAAACAGGAAAGAGCCTTCCCCAAACTGTTGACTCAAAGTTGGAAGCACAGAATCATCTAGAATGCCATTGTATGCTGTAACGTTAAGATTTCCCTTCACTGGAACTAAGGGGCCTAGCCCAAATCATGAAAAACAGCCCCAGACCATTATTCCTCCTCCACCAATCTTTACAGTTGGCACAATGCATTTGGGCAGATAGCTAAACCCAGATTTATCAGTCAGACTGCCAGATGGTGAAACGTGATTCATCCCTCCAGACAACGCGTTTCCACTGGCTTGTGTGCGGCTGCTAGGCCATGGAAATCCTTTTCATGAAGCTCCCGACGAACAGTTATTGTGCTGACGTTGCTTCCAGAGGCAGTTTGGAACTCGGTAGTGAGTGTTGCTACCGAGGACAGACGATTTTTATGAGCTACGCGATTCAGCACTCGGCGGTCCCGTTCTGTGAACTTGTGTGGCCTACGACTTCGCGGCTGAGCCATTGTTGCTTCTAGACGTTTCCATTTCTCAATAACAGCACTTATAGTTGTCCGGGGCAGCTCTAGCAGGGCAGAAATTTGCCAAACCGACTTTTTGGAAAGCTGGCATCCTATGACGGTGCCATGTTGAAAGTCACTGAGCTCTTCAGTAAGGCCATTCTACTGCCAATGTTTGTCTATGGAGATTACATGGCTGTGTGCTCGATTTTATTCACCTGTCAGCAACGGGTTTGGCTAAAATGGCCAAATCCACTAATTTGAAGGGGTGTTCACATACTTTTGTTTATATAGACTATGACCTTTTATTGTCCCCAGGACAAGGTGCACCTGTGTAATTATCATGCTGTTCAATCAGCTTCTTGATATGCCACACCTGTCAGGTGGATGAATGATCTTGGCAAAGGAGAAATGCTCACTTACAGGGATGTAAACAAATTTGTGCACAAAATTTGAGCAATTATTTTTTTTTTGTGCGTATGGAACATTTCTGGGATCTTTTATTTCAGGTCATGAAACATGGGACCAACACTTTACATGTTGCATTTATATGTATTTTTGTACCACATTTTTGCTCCCCAATTTCGTGATAACCAATTGCTAGTTATGATCTTGTTTCATCGCTGCAACTCCCCAACGAGCTCGGGAGAGCCGAAGGTCGAGAGATGCGTCCTCTGAAACATGACCCGCCAAGCCGCGCTGCTTCTTAACACACCGCTCGCTTAAACCAGAAGCCAGCTGCACCAATGTGTCGGAGGAAACACTGTTTGACTGAGGACATTTTGCAAGTGCCTGGCCTAGTCACTAGAGCGTAACTATGTTACGTCTCGTCTATAAGACCAGGCTGCTCCTCTGTCCTCTCTTCTCTGTGACCCGGGAACTGTGGTCAAGTGGAGGAGGAGGAGTCAATTAATTAGTAAGCAAAAGGAAGACATCCTCCCCTTCCCTGAAAGTCACCCTGTAAAATACTACTTGAGTAAAAGTCTAAAAATACTTGGTTTTAAATATACTTAAGTAATTGCTAAACTATACTTAAGTATCAAAAGTAAAAGTGGAAGTATAAATCATTTCACATATATTAAGCAAGCCAGACGGCTCAATTTTCTTGTTTTTTAGATTTACATATAGCCAGGGGGACACTCCAACACTCCGACATAATTTACAAACAAAGCATTTGTGTTTAGTGAGTCCTCCAGATCAGAGGCAGTAGGGATGACCAGGGATGTTCTCTTGATAAGTGCGTGAATTGGACCAATTTCCTGTCCTGCTAAGCATTCAAAATGTAATGAGTACTTTTGGGTGTCAGGGAAAATGTATGGAGTAAAAAGTACATAATTTTCTTTAGGAATGTATTAAAGTAAAAGTAGTCAAAAATATAAATAGTAAAGTAAAGATACCCCCCAAAAACGACTTAAGTAGTTCTACCGCGGAAGAGGTTTGATATCTGCAAATCAGATGTTGTATTGTCGAGGAGAAAAGCATGCTCACATTTTAAAACGATATGCTACTTATCCTTTTATCTATAAAATGTCTTGCACAATTAACCTAATTTGTTTTGATCACTTTACACATTTATTTTGGGATCCACCCCTGTAAACGTAATTTGCCTGATGACCTGCAAGTGGAGAAAGAGCTTGTCATTCGCTGGCTGGCTGCAACATTTCATATAAGGGTATTTTCGTCCACGTTCACTCTCCTCGCTGCCTCTCCTTGATTACCTTTGACCTTTTTCAAAAGGAGGCGAGAGAGGGCAGAGGAGAGAGGACACAGGAGTTGAGCAAATCTAATTGAGAAAAGGCAGCTAGAAGCCAAAAGGATACTCTTGTTCATCCTCTGCTGAAGTAGGTAATGGAGGAGGTGAGCAGACTCCTCCATTCACCTACTAACAAATTGACACTATCCTCGACCACTCAACCGCATTTCAGTTTCTGGGTCACGAAGGAGATGAGGATGGAGGAGTCGAGGAGACAACATACTCTCCAATTGAGAATCTCCCCATGGCTTTACCTATTTGAGAATCTCCCCATTGCTTGCCCTTAGGTGGAAAATGAACCACCATTACACCAGGTGGTGCGTTCTCCGTCACACCTGCAACCAATCACAGCACACAAACGATTCATTCAAACCGGTGTTATGATAAGCCTACTAATGATTTGACACACCAGATGTTTTGATTACGTTTCTAGTGTTGTGGCTAGATGGAGCAGGCCTACAACAGCTTCCTCTAGTGGTCGCGTCGGGGACAACAGTTGTTGACAACTGGCATTGTAGCTAAGCCTAACCCTTTTCCTAACCTTAATCTCATTCTCCTAAACTGCTACGTTTATTCACCTAACCTGTTGCGTTAGCTCTCCTAACCTGCCACACTAATTCACCTAACCTGCCAAATTAATTCACCTAACCTGCCACATGAATTATCCTAACCTGACACGTTAATTATCCTAACCTCCTATCTAAACAAACCATATGTGTCAACAAATCATCAGTATCACCACAGCAGCCAATAATCTCACATTTCCAAATCACATGATTACCTTAATTCACTTCCACTCTGGTACAAATAGGACTATCATTTCTGTACTTTAGGCACTATATATTTTCTCAAACATTGCATTTTTGTTACACTGTTTATATACACCGCCTGTATTTATATACTGGATTCTTGACCTAGCTCACTGTTATATATCTACTGCTGTACATATCAATATGAGTATATCGTTTTGATTTATATACCTATAGATTGCATTTGGACTACTGATACAGTGTTATTTGGGTTGTTAACTGGATTTGCCCTGACACTCGTGATTTCTTGTATTTTTGTTTTTTCATTATTATTTATGTACTTGTTTGACATTTTTACTGCATTTTTCGGAGCAAGTAACGCAATAATTTCGCTGGACCTGCTTCAACATCTGCAAAACTATGTACGCAACAGGGAAGTCACTAGACTTTAAGAACATCCGGGGCTCAGCCCTGAAGACCTGGGGCTGACTCCGGGGGAATTAATATTAATTAATATGAATATTAATTCAATGGATTGTGGTCAGTAAACCCATGGAATATGGTGTCATTCATAATCTATTAGCAAGTATAAAGTACAAGTGCATAACTATATCGTAATTTTCCATGAAGATTTTTTTAGTTGAAAAGTATTTATCATTTGGTTGCAATGTTTTCATAAACCGTGTCCAATATTTGATTGGCAATAAAAATAAGCCTCATGTTGATGTTGGTCACATTACTGCTAGTCATGCTGCGCGCATGTGCAGTTCCAAAATAATTTGGAGAGTAAAGTAGGAGAGGTTGTGTCTTCTAAAGTTCTTGGTGATGGAAGTTTGGTGGTGGTGTGTTTAAATGTTAAACAGTATGAGAAGGCGCTCAAACTCAATCA